TTGCAATTACTGCAATTCCTTTCAAGAGCCCCACTATGACATTTAAAAATTTCTAAGTCTGGTGCAAAACATGGGAGCAATCACCTAAAAATAAGCATAACAAAATTGTTGAACCCAGTTATCTTAAAACAGTTCAAGTATTACCTCTCTAAATATAGAGGTTTAATTTTGAAAGAATTCCCAGGAACAGGTGGTAACCAATATTGGGTTTAAACTCAGTGTTTTATTTTTTAAATCTTGGTCTAATCCAATTGCAGAAGTTGTCATTTTCAGATTTTTTGCCATTTTGCAGTTATAAAATACTTTCAACAAAATATATCTCACATGTTTAATTGGAAAAATAATGATTACAATCAGTTTTTATAAATTATTAAGATGACAGAGATGCTTTTACTCAGGGTTACATCCTCTTGGGAACCGTTGCCACAATGGCACCAGAAATTATTTCTAAAGGAGTGATGCTGAGAAAGCAAAGAACGATTAAAACAACAATTCCATTCACTGGGATCTAAATTATTAATACATAATTATGCTACCTGATTAATCTTCCAAGACTTTTTGTGAGAGATGGACGTTGTCATCACCTCACTTTATACAAATGAAGAAACAAAGGCATAATTTATTAAAAACTACATGAATTTGTTTTTGAAAGTGATTAGATATCTATTTGTTGGCTACATAATTCTACACCACTAGTTTTAACCAATCAAATCCCAGCATAAGCAGGTAACTTAAAAGACTATAAGAGGGCTTCCCTGGTGACGCAGTGGTTGAGAGTCCGCCTGCCGATGCAGGGGACACAGGTTCGTGCCCTGGTCCGGGAAGATCCCACATGCCACGGAGCGGCTGGGCCCGTAAGCCATGGCCGCTGAGCCTGCGCGTCCGGAGCCTGTGCTCCACAACAGGAGAGGCCACAACAGTGAGAGGCCCGCGTACCGCAAAAAAAAAAAAAAAAAAAAAAAAAGACTATAAGAGACACAGTACTGCTCCTCATTGCTTGTGAAATCTCAACTAGTCTTTTTGGCCTGGATATTGTGCAATGTTATTAACTGAGTACTTTCAGAATTCCAGTGTAACTTTAGTTCACCTCACAATAAAACTAACAATCTTACAGTTGTCTTGCAGCAAAAACATGCAGGTATCACTATCAAAATGTCCTCATGATTCAGCATCTGAACTACTTGTCAATAACCAAACTCATTAACTCCCCACAAAATCTGTTCCTCCATCTCTTTGTTCCTTGGGGAAGTGAGGGCTGAGGTAGGGTAAGTGACAAAATACTATCTATCCAGTCACTCAGAGCTAAACTAGGAAGCATCCTTAGACTCCTCCTTCTCCTTTAATCCCAAATCTGATCAACAGGTCCAGTCAATTTAATCTCCTAAATATCTGTCAGATTTCCTCTTTGCTATCCTCATTCCTACTACCACAGCCCTGGTGGTTCGGCCTCAGATGGTGGTTCACCTAGATCATTACATGTCTCTTAACCGCTCTCCCTGCCTCCAGTTTTGCCCCCTCCAAACCATCCTCCACACTACAGAACCAGGTCATTGTTTTGAAAGCACAGTTATGACCATGCTGCTCCCTTATTTAAAACCTTTCAGTGGCATCCTGTCACCTAAAGGACAAAGTCCAAGCTCCTTAGCATGTCCTACAAAGCCTTCTACAGTCTAGCCCATTCCTCTCTCTCCCACCTACTCTTCAGTTTAGTCAGCTTATCTCTGTGCATTTATTCACATTGTGCTCTTAAATGGTCTCCTCCAACTCTCATCAAACCTCACTTTACCTGTCTACCTCTTACCCATTGATTAAAACACAAATGAGTTCTTTTCTGGTCTCCCCAGATGTGGCTGGATTTCCCTTCTATGTTCATATCATACCTTTTGCATATCTCTATCATTGCAGTTACATTCTGTAATAATTATCTATGAGTATGTCTATTTCCTCCATTAGAATATGATCTTGTGGTCAAGGAATGTGTCTTATTGATCTTTTTATCCCTGGAATCTAATACAATGTCTGGGAATAATAAACATTCCATAATTATTTAACGAATAAATATCCCTACACTATTTTTAGAACTATACAAAAGCATTTGATACCATTTGCAGTCATAGGTGATAGAAACTTTTGTATCAGGGTAGTTTGATTACTCAAGAAAACTAAAGCAGAGTTGGTGGTGCCCTGACTCACTGCCCCCGAGCAAAAACATGAAGGAAGTTTCTATCACTCAAACGAATTGCTATGGGCACAGCTATGGTCACAGTTACAACAAAAACCTTTCATCCAGTCATTCAAGAAATAGCTTGAGGGACTTTTATGAGCTGGGCCCTTTCTAGACATTGAGGAACAAAACAGATAAGGTCACTGCCCTCAAGGTGCTATTATTCTAATGGAAGGAGATAATCAATAATCAAATAAGCAAGATAACTTCTGATGGTGATAAACGTGTTTCTCTGAGTTCTGGGAGCTGCTGTAGCAAATTAATCAAACCTGAGGAGGGGGACGTGGGAACCTCCAATTTGTAGCCAAATCTGAGAGAAGTCCGGGTATCTGGGGACCTAACTACTTGTGACTGGCATCTGAAGTGGTATGGGAGCAGTCTTGTGGGACTAAGCCCTTAACCTCTGGGACCTGACACTATCTCCAGGTAAACTGTTAGACTGAGTTAAACGGTAGGACACCCAGCTGGTGTCACAGAGAATTGTGGGGACCCCACATATTTGGTTTTTCCCTACACAGGAAAAAGACAAACTTGTGGAAAACTGAATTTTTCCAGTATGAATGGTACCTATTAGTTTATGCCTATGGAAAAGTCTTCTTGTTTAACAGGATATGAAATTCAAAATCCTTGAGACAATATCTCGGAAAGTATATAATGACCACAACACTCAAAAGTACAAGAAGTAGAACTCTATTACTCATTTAACAAAATCTGTTGAGGGCCTACGCTGAACAAATTATGAATAGGTTTGCTGAGCCAGCGCAGGAAACTGGATTAATTCATCAATTAAACTGAAGGGATCTGAGAAGAGTGGTTCAATCAACCCCTCACTTTACAAACAAAACTGCAGCCCAGAGGAAGAAACTGCTGTTCCTCCTAAACTGGAAGATGAGAGAATCATGCCCTAGTTTACCCCAAGGACATACTATGAATAGCCAAAGATTTTCATTAACAACATAAACCAACAGTTTTTAATGAAATGTTATGTGGGCAGTAGATTAATGTATTATGCTAAGAAAAATGTAATATTTATGTAAAGCCCTTGATATGATATAGTGCTTTGCACAGGGTAGATGCTCAATAACGGTAGCTATTACTTCCAGCTATATGGTCTTTGGAAGGCTGAGTGCATGATGTCTACCTGGCATCAACCGCTTGACTAAATTGATAATAGAGCCACATGACTTCTAATCTAATTCAAACATTTGATTTTCCACATGGAAAACGTGAAATCTAAAAGGGCTAAATGACCTGCAAAGCCAGCCACAGTGAGAGAGACAGAGCCAAGACCAAACCCTGAATCCCCAGTCCGGGTTCCATTACATGCCACAGGTGTAAAGTTTAGCTATAAGGTTATGTTCAAAGTTTTATAAGAAGGTAATAAGAACAGAGCTGCTATACCTGACTTTTTTCAATCCTTTCATTAAAGTCATCATTGAGCTATGATTTTGATATAAGAATCAACAAAGCATATTGGGAATATAGCCTTAGGAGTTAACAACGAAAACAACAGTCTTGGTAATGCAGTTCTATCACGGACACCTGATAAATGGATAGGCTACCGGAGCAGCTGTTATATGTGCCGAAGTAGAGAGACTACAAGCAGAACAGAAATACAACAGAGAAAACACTTAAAACGTGACAACAGCTGTGGGTCATTAAGAAACTGAGATCAAGTCTTTTGGCATACAGCAACAACAGAATGGTTTGTTTTAAGTAAAGACCAACCGGGAGTCTAATAAAAACACTGGGAGACCCACACTAAAAGCCACAATGCGGGAAGAGTTGTAGTAAGCAATCCAAAAGTTTTCCCTTTCACGAAGAGTGGAAAGCCCAACCGTAAACTTTCAGGTCCTTTTGCATATGAGATCAGGATGCCCTCCCCCTTCCCCCATAAAGATAAAAAATAATCTCTGTATGGAGGGAAAAAGGGGCAGGGCATAGAGGGGAATCCAATTTATTTGTGGTGAATTAAATTCAACTCAACAAATATTTCCTGAAAACTCTACTATGTGTAAAACGTTGTGAAAGATGCTTGCCTTGCCTCAAAGACCTCAGAATTATATGGTAGAAGGGAAGAGAATGGGGTTCACGGCAGTACCCAAGGAGGAACAGAAGCTCTCTAAGAGAGGTTCCAGTCAGGGCTATAGGTTTAAAGGGGTAAAGAGGACTTCGAGACTCAGAAAAGGTTTCACGGGAGAAGTGAGGGAGAGGGTAGGCGAGTGGGTGAACGTTCGGACCATCGGGAGAGGTCAACTTCCAGTTCCCTCCCAACTGCCCGCCTCCTCACGCGCTTGGCGGGCGCCCTGCGCACCCTCTCCCGCGGGGCAGGCAGCAAGGCTCCCGAGCAGCCCACCCCGCCCCGGTTCTCCCCTGCCATTTCTCACCTCGGAGGCTTCCAAATTCCTCCTCTGTCTGAAGACAGGAGAAAAAGCTGACAGCAAAGAGCCCCAAGGCGGGCGACCGAGGCGTGCTGTCAGCTCACTAGCTTGAGCCTGCCGCCAGGCCGCACCCCCATGGTAACGCCGCCAAGCGCCGGTTCGAACGCCCGCGCCGACGCCAGCGCGCTGGCAGTCCAGCACCGTTCACCAATGGGCATCCAGGGAACTCGTGGACGTGGGCCGCCTTCTCTTCTAGAAGACCAATCAGGGAACTAATGAAACAGTGGGCGTATCTCTCAAGTTCAGTCTTTCGGTCTTTCAACCAATTACTCCACTTAAGTGAAGATCTCGCGATGTTCTAAGCGAGAGAACCTCACCTTTGAGGCGGGTCCAGAATCCTAATGCCCGGAGCTGTTGGTCGCCCAAAGCGCAATGGAGCTCTCCGGATTGGTCGACGTACCCCAGGTCTCCGTTCAAGGTCCGCCTCCTGCCTGCTTCCACTTCGGAAGGTGAGTAAATCTTAGGGAGGGACCACTGGCTTTAGTTCTCCGCGGCGGAACTGAGGCTCGGAGATATGGGAGTTTGCAGTTGACTAATCTCCCGTCGCTGTAGGGTCAGAGGTGGACGTTCCTTCCTCCAAGCTGGCAGTGGGGCGTGGTTAGGTTAGGCCCCAGACGCTCGCAGGACCTCAGTTTTTCTGTATGCGTAGGGAGAAGGGATCAGTGGCCCAGCGAGCTTTGCTTGCCCTCATGCAAGTGGTGATCGGGTGGGTCGTCGGAAGCCCAGAGTTCCGTGTGTAGGGCCCAGCGACTCGAGGTCCATTCCTTCCCCTCCTTGGGCCTCAGTTTTAACATTGTTGTTACCTTTTAAGCCCTGCGTACTTTCCAAAAGAGGTTTTATATTTTCTAATAGCTTCATTTATTGAATGGATAATATCGTGGCAATTATAGCAGAAGTAAAGAAAGTCACACGAGAGTCCCACTACCTAAAAAAATAACTTCCTTTTTCCTTGTTGTGGCTTGGTTTGGACCTTATGTATTTATTATATCTCCTAAGGGGAAAATATATGAATGACAAATTAAAATAAACTGAATGCAATTAAATAGGCAAATGTAGCTAACGTAGAGTCGAGGCTGAGAGCAGTGATGTTGGGAGACAGGCAGATCTGCTTTTGAGTCACTACTCAGACACATGTCTGAGCTGTAAATTCCTTTTTCCTCTTCTGAAAACTGTCAGTAGTGCCTCGTGGGGTTGTTGTGAAGATTAAGTGAAATAACAAAGGTAGAGCACTTGGCACAATGCCTGAGAAGTAGTAACTCTTCCAAAAATGATAGCTATTATCTTCATAATAGAAACAAGCAAATATACTAGCCAATGGAGCCAGCAGATGTACTGTAACTGAGTACCCAATTTAGTTCAAAACTTGTCAGTTAAATAACTAATAATTCAGGAAGCAATACATTCTTCAAAAGAGTGGAATTTCTTCCTAGTAGCTATATCAAGAGGAATTTATCTTGTGGGGCCATCAGGGATATACATGGTGTGATCACCGGTAGTTTTGCAGAAAATGTGAAAAGCCATTTCTTGATTCAACTGTCAATAAAAGCTAAGAGCATGCCCTTAAAACATAACATAGAGAAGCTTTCTGATAATCTTGTATGATAACAGGGGTAAGCGAGACTCGTATATTCAGTACGTCTATGTCAGACCCTACATATACATTATTTATTTTAAACTCTACAGCAACCGTGAATAGTAGGTTGTTGTTTCCTTGTTTGTAAGATGAGGAAAGTGAGGCCTAGAATAGTTAAGTATTTTGCTCAAAGTAAGACACTGTTAAATTAGGGAGCTAAGTCTCACTGTGAAGCCAGCCATGCTTCTGTGTTGTGCCGTGCTGTTTCTGACTGAAAGAGGATGAAAATACTTAGAATACCAGATGTACAAGCAGCTTTACCCAAATGGAGGGAGGTGGACTGCAGAGATACCTACAGTGGAAGCAAAATCTTTCTCTAACAGGAAATTTCAGCCTTGGGAAATGAAGAGATGGGATGAGGTGATCACTGAACTCTAGACGCATGTGTCCATTTACTTCGTGGGTAGTCTATCGCACTTCAAATTCAACTTGTCCCAAACAGGAATCATTTGCGTACATTCTCCTCCTACTTCTACCTAGTCCCTCCCTTTCCCTCTCCCTTGGACAGTGAAACAGCAAATAGTGTTGATTTTCTCTTTGAGACCTCTCAAATTCATCCCTTCCTCTCCTTTCTCACTGCGTCTGCCTTAATTTGACTCTGTATCATTTGTCATCTGGACTGTTTGCAACAGGCTTGTAACTGGTTGGCCTCCTTACCTTCTAATTCTTTCTCCACTTTCATTGCTGTCAGAATGTCTCTGTAAAATGTCAACCTAACCATATTACAGCCATGTCCAAAACCAGTCCAAGGCTCCTCATTGCCTACGGGATAGAAACTAAGTTTTATCAATGGCATGTCATCTTGTGCTTGAGGGTCTTTGCTCACACTCCTCCCTTGGCCTGGAGTGCCCCTTGCCACCTTTATTCTGCTTGGTTAACTCCTAGTCATCCCTCAAAATCCTTATGGCATACCCCTTGACCTAAAGATATCACCCCTTCTTTGCTACATTTACATCTTACACATACCCTTGTGAAGCAAAAAACACATTTGGTAACTTGTCTGTTTAAACATCTTCCACTTTCACTAGTATTCAGCTTCCCATCTACTCTTCAATCCTGTTACCACTGCCTGTCACATGGGACACACTCAACAGACATTAGATGAGCGAATGAATCCTTTCAGGCTCTAGTATTAGAATTCCCCATGTTGGCTTTCCAGAATTGTACAGCAGATGGCACTAATAGGCCATTTAACAGATCTCCTTCACTAGAAATGATTTTTGTCCCAACCTTGTCTGACTTGGCTTCATCCTAGAAGCCAATATTCATGTCATTACAGGTGAAATCTCCTGTTTCCTCCCTCAGTCAAATAGCAAAGATAGCAAGATGACTCAGCAGCTTGGTCTCTGAGAAAAGAGAGTGGCAGATGTCCAGGGAAAGGTGCAGTTGAGGGAACATTTTCTTTGTCAATTTATTCAATTTATGGTAGTTGGGAGCTTTTTTCTTTCTTTCTTTTTAGTTTTATCTTTTTGCTATTGTTATAAGAGAGAGCTTTATTCAAAGATGGGAGCCTCATTTCTGTCCACTCCTTTCAGAGACACAAAGTTTAGGGGCCTCAGACTACACTTTACCCCTCCAGGGTTGTCTTTGGGTACCAAGACCTTCATCTATACCACCCTCCAACTAAAACCTCTTCTGTGGAAAGGAGTCCAGTTAGACAACTTTAAAATCCTCCATATGAATACAGATCAAAGGGTGGGAATTCTGGAACTGGAAATGATTTTATAAATCATTTTCGTGTCCTCTCTCAGGGCCGCTTGTGCCCTAAGTCCTGCTCTTTCACAGTAAGCAAAGCAGTATAAAGGGGAAAAAATACAGATTTTGGAGTTAGACTTACTTGAATTCAAATCTCAGCATTCACAGACCAGCTATGCCTTTGGGCAAGTATTTTAAACTTTCTGAATCTCAGTTTCCACATCGTAAACTGGAGCTAATAATGCTTATTGTGAAGAGTTGTCTTGAGCATTAGAAAAGATACACGTGAAGAACCTTGCACAGGGTAGATGCTTAATTGATAACATGGTGGGATGAAATACTGTTTCTGCTAGAGGGATTTTACACTAGGAGGAACAAGTCGGGGGGTAGGATTTGGAGAGCTCTTTCTGTCTGTAAAGGTACATTTATGAGGGCTTTGAGGGTTGAACTATGCTTGCAGTAGCACTCTGATTAATTTGATGAAAATATTGGAACACAGCACATCAGTATAGCCATTTATCTGTGAATTATTTTTTGGCACCTAAGTCCTGAACCTCGTATCTATAGAGAAAGCCAAGAGTATTTTTCGTTAGCTTCTGGAACCTTCTGATGACATTGAGGGTTTTTTTGTTCAGTTTTTTTTAACCACCTAAGGCACTTTGCCACTTTTCTGAAGTGTGAATTGCCTGCTGTCAGCCTGGAGTTCTCACCTCCGCAATCCTGGCTGCAGGCATCTTTGCATATTAGACGCTGTGTTCTTTAACCCCTGAGGTTTGAATCCACTCAGAGTTTGTGCATGCCAGAACGTTGTGTGTGTGTGTATGTGTGTGTGTGTATGTGTGTGTGTGTGTATGTGTGTGTGTGTGAGGGAGAGAGGGAGAAATCTGGCTACTTTCAAACCCCAGGACAGTTTCAGCTCCGTGGTCTCCAGAAAAACAGAAAGCCTCCAACAATAGCTCCATTGACTTTTATGTAAATGGCACTCCTCAGGAAAACACTGGGCTATTTCCCAAAGTCCCAGAACGTACCCTGAACATTTGTTTGAGTGGGAGGTGGGGAGACAGTTCTGTTGAGTCAATGAACATCTGTTGAGAGCTGCTGTGCTGGGTCCCAGGAGACAGCTCATAGTCAGGCTCTTCCCTGCCAGAGGTACAGACAAAGATTTACCATACTAGGCGTGCGTGCTTGTGGTGGCTTTGTACTGTGTCCACTTAGCTGAGCTGGAACCGAGTTTCCCAGGATTCCCTTCCTGTATGGTTTCAGTTGGGGTTGACCTCAAGAAAATTTTGTGCAAGATTTGGAAAACTGAAGTGAAGTAGCAGCCAGTACACTGTGAAGGACACCGGGCATGGTGGCATACCTTTTGACCCTGACCTGCTGGCTCACCTTGGTTGTGCAGGACAGCACCCAGGCCTGCAGGCCCCCAACTCCTGCTGAATCTCCTCCTTCAGCTGCTCTGAGAGTCCTAGGCTAGATGTACGTTCAGCTCTGTGGCAAAGGGCCCTTGCTTCTCCTGCAACTCACTGGAGTCAGTGAGCTTGGAGACAGTGAACAGAAGTTGATTTGTTCTCACAGGTTCCAGTTCTTTCTCTCCTCCACAGCCAGCCTTCCTTCCCAACTGCTGGCCTCCCCGACTTACAGAGACTTCAGGCCTGACACCAGATGCAGAAGTGACAGAGTTGTGTGGATTTCTCCATCAACTTCCTAATTGGACAAGGTCTAATCCCTATACTGAATTCTTACCTTACTGTGCTCATAGTGTTCTGTTTCTCTTATCAAACCCTACAGTAGAAGATTATTCAAGCCATGTTAAAGGCCCAGAAGATGGAATGATTAGAAGCCAGAAGGCTTCACAGGAGAGGTGACATCTGAGTTGTTGCTGAAAGGATGAGGAGGTGGTTAAATGGATGGGGAAGGAAGGAGAGATTCTAGAGGACAGCTGGCTCAAGCCAAGCAATTGAAGGGCAAATAGGAGTTCTGCCTTTCTGTCCTCTCTGTGGGTGCAGAGCATAGAGAGAAAGTGAGCATCTATCTGATCCTAGCTCTTCTTGTTGCATCAAGATGAACTGTTGGTCAGTCTGCTTCTTAGATGTGGTAACTGCTGAATACTGGTATCTACTGAGATACATTTTTGCTGGGTGCACCCCTGTCAGTAACCTAAGCCTCCTCCCCATAGGAAAATATTGGCCTGCTCCCCTCTCCCCAGTAGTTCCATATGGCCACCCCAGGCCTGTCTTTCTTGGCCCACCCTCCCATGCAGCAACTTTGTTTCCTCATGCTGTATTGGTGATAGCAGTGGTGTGGAGGGAGGACACTGTGCCCACTAGTCTGGGATCCCTAAGCTTATTGAGGGGTTCCAACATCCATTCCATGGGACTCCACTCGAAGCAGGGGCAAGGTGCCCTATACCTATAACTTGTTAATACTTTCTGAGCATCTTGATAGGAAAGCATGGGATCAGGTACCTGTTTCAGCCTAAACCTGGAACCAGTCATTTGAAATCTTGCTTCACGAGTTCTTTGGTGACAGGATTCCTTCTGGCTTCCAGAGTAAGGAACGTTCTCAGCATAAATGGGGAGACCAGGGAAACAGAACACCATATTTAGTAAAAGCCTGATACCAGTTTACATATGAATTTTAAACTCAAAAAGAACCATACTTTACATAGTTATGAGCCATTCTTTTTCCACTGGAAATCTTTTTACAAGCAGCACATTTGACTCTACCTCACTTTTTTAAAGGCCTCATAATCTTCCATCATATAGATGAAATACTGTACTTATTTAACCATTCCCATATTGATGGATATTTGTTTCTGCCCTTTTTTTCTTTTTTTTGTGTGTGTGTACATCTTAAACATGTATTTGTATATGTCAGTATGCCTAGAATTGGAATTCCTGGGTCTAAGGGAATGTGCATTTTATGTTTTGATAATTATTACCAAATTGTCCTCCTAAGGGGATATGCTAATTTAATCTCCCACCACCAGTAAATGAGAGCACAGACCATTTCAAAAACCCATTTTGAGATTATTTCCAATCCTTAAAAACTCTCATTACAGGTATAGAAAGGTTTGGAAAGGTCACAGTGTTGGGTGTGCTTGGTTTTTTTGAGTAAGGAACCACTGTTCTCTAGAGTAACATTACCATCTGTTGGTAGCCCTGAGAACTGCCCTGGAACAGGTTGTGATTTGGGTCTGATTTTTATGCCTTTGACAAATGCAAGCTCATCTTGATTGAGCACCAACGAGGGGGCCATGGAGACCATCAGCGTCTACTCCCGCCACACTTTTAGCATCAGCTCTGCCACCTATGAGCACCAGCTCCTTCTTTGGCCCTGGAATCTTGGAGATGAGACCCTCCGACTCGGGCCTCTCCCTGCCTGGGCCACTCTCTCAGGCCTCTGCTGCATTTGAGACACCTGGTTTTCTTTCAGTTCTGCTGTCTCACCTCAGAACCTTTGCCCATGCTGTTCCCTCTACCTGGAACACATCTTCTCTCCTCTTTCCCTTTGACAGCTTACCTTCTACTCATCCTTTACTCCTCTGCTCAAACATCCCTTCTTCCAGGAAGCATTCCTTGATCCCTCAGTCAGGGTTAAGTTACCAATCACACATTTCCCCTTTGGAGCACATACCTTACTGGCAATTACTTTTAAATTTGCTTAACTATTTGATTAAAGTCTGCCTCTTCCACTAGAATATAAACTATATTCTATATTCTTGTGAGGGCAAAGGCCAAGCACAGTACTTGGTACATAGTAGGTACTCAATAAATATTTGTCGAGTGAACAAATGGTACAAGTTTTTCTTTTGCAGGGCTTCACATAAAGGATCTTCCATATTTTTTGTTACTTTGATTACATGTCCTCCTTCAGATGATGAATTCTTTTTTCACTTCTGCAGATATTCCTACTCCCTTCCTGTCTTTTGTTGTCGTTGACATATTTTTCTGAAATGGAAAAAAGGCTAAATGGAAAAGACTAAAAAAGTCTGTCTTCACTGTATTTCTGATTATAAAAATAATAAATGTTCTCTGTAAATTTTCAAATAATACAGATATATATGGAGCAGAAAATGGAAATCTCCCCATAATCTCATCCCCCCAGAAAACAGGATTAATGATGTGTATCCTTCAGACATTTTTCTGTGCATAATGAAATGTATTGAGATTACATTCCAAGCACTGTTCTAAAGCACTTTACAAAAGTTAAGTCATATAATCCTCATAGCAGCTCTTTAGAGTAGAGCTATTACTATCCTGTCTTACAGCTGTGGAAACAGGCTTAGGAGCTAATCACACAGTGAATAAGTGGCAGAGCCAGAACTTGAACCCAGGCTCCAGGTTCACACTCTCGACTACTCTGCCAGTTCACTTCTGATGGGGTAGGAAAGAGACTTTCTACCATGTGTTCCCCTTTATATTTTGAGTTTTGAACCATGTGAATGTATAACATTCCAAAACGGATAAAAGATTGAAAAAAAATTAATAATAAATTTTTAGTACACTAAGCTACCCTTTCTAAGTGACCCCTCTGAGCCATCAGAAACCACATTGTTGGGGTCTCTTTGCTCCAGAGACTCAGGTTGGAGGCTGAGGGAAATGGGATTGTGAATTTGATGATAATATTGTACTGCATCTCTCCCATTCCCCGCACCTCTCCAGTTTCAGTGGGGTTGCTTCTGAGGATCTCCAGTCTCTACATACACATGCCAGCCCTGTTTTAGCTGGGAGACCTAGAGGAATTGGGATAGAGCTACACTAACAGGTAGGGACCAAGGTCCTGCAATTACACACAAAGGCCTGTCTCAGCAGACCAGCTGACCACACAAAGGCCTGTCTCTGACTCCTGGTTTCCCCCCATTGGTTCTCAGCATGCTGCCTCTGTCTATAGGTGATGAGGTCACTGTTAGCTGGTCTGTGCTACTCCGCAGCACCAGAGTGCTGCCCGCCAGTATGGATCTTCCTGTTTTGTGTAACTTCGAACATCTTTTTTGTTACGCCTTCAGATAGACCATGGCCCTGAGAGCATGTGGCTTGATCATCTTCCGAAGATGTCTCATTCCCAAGATGGACAACACTGCAGTTGAGTTTCTACTGCTGCAGGCATCAGATGGCATTCATCACTGGACTCCTCCCAAAGGTGTGAGGCCAGAGGGGTGGGCTTTGGGGAAATGCCAAGCACTGTTCAGAAATCCACCCTGCCAGGCACCTTGCTAGGCTTGCTTCCCAGTGATTGTGTAGCAGGAGGGGGTGGGGTGGGCAAGAGCTCTTGATCCTTTCTACATACAAAGTCTCCATGCCAGGCCAGAGAAGAACTGGAAATAGAACTCTGTGGCTGAATTCCAGGGCAGAAGCAAGACCTGGTTTTCTTTCCTTTTTTTTTTCCTCTTCTCCGCGCCATGCAGCATGTGGGATCTTAGTTCCCGACCAGGGATTGAACCCGTGCCCCCTGCAGTGAAAGCACGGCGTCTTAACCACTGGACTGCCAGGGAAGTCGTAACACCTGGTTTTCTTGCATCAGTCACCAGAGCCTCTGTGGTGAACGGCTGGGTAGGGGAAGAGGCACTGGGCTGGGAATTGGGGACCTTGGGGTCAAGTTATTATTGGGCTACAGGTCAGGAGCCCATAGTGAACAGCCCCCAGACAGAAGGGAGCAAGTGGGGTCGGGGAGGGGTGAACAAGACTCCAAGGTTGGAAGAAAACAAGGAAGTGGGAATAGGAAATAAAATTTGCACATTCAAGTTTCACTGAGGAGAAACAAGGTGAAAAAAAAGAGAAGTGTCACAGATACTATGAATAGGAATATTCACACTTGCCTCCTGATCACCAGAGTCACACTGCACGGTCCCTCTCGCTGAAAGATTTCAAAGGACCTCTCTGAATTTTTCCCTGCTTGGGCCTGGGGGAGAAGTTACCCTGTTAACACCGATGGGCAGAGTGCTGAATAGATGCTGCTGGGCAGGGTGTGCTCAGAGACTCCCACACAGTTCTGAGGGAAGGTCGGGCATCCTGGATCAGCGTCACCTGTCTCACCACCAGCATCCCTCCCACCTTCCTCCCCTGGTGCATTACCTACCTGTCTTTGTGTCCGTGGCTATATGAGGTGCTATACAGAGAAAATTCGCTAGCAGCTGTGAATGAAAATGGGCTTTTAAGTCCAAGCTCCTGGCTGCTTTCTGTGGGAGCTGTGCAGCAGCAGCTGACTCGGGGCAGTGCTCTGAGGACCGCTGGGAAGGAGGAGGCTAGGATGTAGCCCTGTCTTTGAACTAGGAAGAGAACAGCTAAGAATTCCTGCTCTCTATGAGCTCCTGAACCAGGAGGCTCCCAGCAACTTGCTGGAGCCATGTGTTGACCGAGGCTGCCAGACCCCTCTCAGGCCTTCTTGGCACCCCCTGGGCAAGCTGAGAACTTGCAGGGAGGGCTTGAGGCAAAGCTGAGGGCTGCTCGCAGTCTGCAGAGCTTCAAGTTCTCTTACAACAGTTTCTTGGCAGTTGTCTGATTGGGTTTGGGCCTTGCCAACAAATTTTCTTAGAACTGGCTCTCAGCTTGTCCTTAGTCTAAGTTCCCATCAGGACTTTCCCTATGAAACTGGAAACTGGCCTTGCTCAGTTAGAAAGATGAAAACAATTTGGAAGAGCCTTGATAGCTACTTGGAAACAGCTGCTGCCGGTGCCTCGGTGCAGGGTTCGGAGACAGACCGTTGGCCCTGGGACTTCAGAGACCAACTGCAGACAGTGTTAAGTCTTCACTGTGCATTGTAGGTGAAGTGCTCCCTCTTCAGCCAGCTCCCACCTGGCAAGAAAGGACTGCCCCTCTTTGGGAAAATCACGTTAAGGTGTCCCAGGGAAGGGTCTCCCTGAGAATATGGGATGAAGAGAACTCCAAAGAAAAATAAAGTAGAGGTCTGAGGGAGGCTGTCTCTCTCACCATCGAAGGGCAGTATTCTAGACCAGACTTGCCAAATATATGTTTTGTTTCACTCTCTGTAGAGAAGATGGGGTGGGGAAGAGGGATTGCCCAGACACCACAGAGCCAGACACTGCCTGCCCTGTACCCCATCCCTAGGCATGTTAGAATATTGCCAAAGCTTAGCAACACCTAGAAAAGTCGCCAGAGACCCCAGCTTTAAATCATCTGACCTGGAAAATCCAGCTTTGTTGAAGATTATATCCACCTCCTCTTCTTTTCTCCTAACCAGGCCATGTGGAACCAGGAGAAAGTGACTTGGAAACAGCCCTTCGGGAGGCTCAGGAGGAAGCAGGCATAGAAGCAGACCAGCTGACCATCATTGAGGGATTCAGAAGGGAGCTCAATTATGTGGCCAGGGAGAAGCCTAAAACCGTCATCTACTGGCTGGCGGAGGTAAAGGACTACGACGTGGAGGTCCGTCTCTCCCACGAGCACCAGGCCTATCGCTGGCTGGGGCTGCATGAGGCCTGCCAGTTGGCTCAGTTCAAGGAGATGCAGGCGGTGCTCCAGGAAGGACACCAGTTTCTCTGCTCCACAGTGGTCTGAACTGACCAGATCAGGGTCTTTTGCCTCCGTAGGATCCTTGAGGGCTTCTGAGGTGAACTACCTTTGCTTCCAGGGAAGCCTGTGCTGGTCTTTGGCTCATTATAGCAGATTGCAGACAGGCTGGTAAAATCAGCTGAGGACCCTCAGAGAAGAGCAAGCAAAAATCTCAGCTGGGTGGAAAGGAAGGGAAAGGAGTTTTAAAAAAAAAAAAAAAGGCCAAGCCCAGTGAGTGCATCCTTATACTTTATGAATAAACCTCAAGCAGCTTATCTCTCCTTCTAACCTGCTGTATTTATTTCCTGGGCTCTTGCCTTGGGTGGGGAGAAAAGCTAGAGTTAATCAGAGCTCTGACCTTAGCTGGAGGGAATCCTGTGTCCAAGCACTGTACCCCAGAGAAGCTGAGGGACGGAGTCAGAATCAGAGAGACCCAACGCTACCGGGTGGCTCTCCTGCCTCTGGACCTCCAAGCACCCTCACCCCACCCCACCGGTGTACCTGAGACGTAATGACTTGTAGCGGACAGGATATACAAGCGAGTGGGACTGGAGCGCAGGAATGGAGTCTGCTATACAATCGGCCCACCGTATCCGCGGATATCGAGGGCCGAAGGTGGGACTCAAACATCCTCAGAATTTGGTATTCTCAGTGGGTCCTCAAACCAATCCTCCGCGGATAACGAAGGATGATCGTACTCGCTAATGTATCATTCCCTGGCACCAGGCACATATGTTATAGGTTCTCAGTAAATATTTCCTAAGGTAATTCGAGACCCAAGGAACATTGGAACAAATCCCCAGTCACAACAGGGAAAGGAAGGACAGGCAACCCTGGGCCATCAGGTCAGTGACACATACACTCCAACCTCCCAGCCCAGTCCTGACTCCCAGGGTCAGCGTGGTTATCAGCATGACTGAGGCCACTGGCAAGGGGCAGGCCTGAGCCTGGGGGGCTCAGCTGGGCCACCCGGCAGCCCTGTCACTACCCCGTGCATTCCTCGCCTGCCGCTGCCTTCCCCGCCTTTAGCAAGCCCTCATCATTGGCATGTCTCTCTTCCCACCTGCTCCCTTTTTCCACAATTCAACTGTAAGATCCAGAGCCGCAAGAGCTGGGTCTCAGCCCTCTTTCCCCTTGCTACTAGGGCTCAAGGAATGCAGGGCAGGTGTTAGATCCTACAGCCCTTCCAGGAGCTGTTAGCAGCTGGATTCATGTGGATTTCATTAGAGGGTTGTTGCCCAATGAAGTGCAGAAGCTTGGATGGGAAGGGGCATTGGCAAAGGTCAACCTGGATTACCAGGGTCAAGAACAGCCACCCCCAGAGGAAGGAGAGAGAAGTCACCCAGGTCTTCCATCAGGCCTCCAGATGTTTTCAGTCACTGGTTCTCCGTGCAGACAGGGCAAAAGTACTAGCGAACAGGATTTTGGAGCACTGCCAGGGACCTGAATGGTTTTGTTCCTCACCCCTCAGAGCAGCACTCCCCTAGGAGGCCTGCTACAGGAAGTTTTTGGAGCTTAGTGCTCTCCTTCCAGGCCAGCAGGGACCACATCCTACTGATTTAATAAGTGCCTGCTGGGCAGTGGTGCCAAACCACAGACTAACAAGGGCTGGCTGGCCCTGTGCACTCAACATGGGAGTCTGTGGAATCTCAAAATGTTAAGACCTCATACATCAGAGTTGGAAGGGACCTGGAAAATGACCTGATTCTGCTGCTCACTTTTTTAGCTGAGGATATTGAGGCTTAAGAAGGTAGATGGCCCTGGCAGTTGCCTATATGTGAGGTCCTTTGAGGATGAGGTGCCAGAGGGAAGACTCTGCCTTAGAATATCTTGTACAGCTTTGGAGTCATTCTTCTGGGACTTACAAAGTTTTCCATTAAAACACAGGTACTTTGGAGAAGGTGGGGCGGCGGGGTGGGGGGGAAGCCCATAAACTGCGTTCAGATGTTCACTTTGTAGGATGAATTGACAGAAAGGTGGGACTGGGGCATGTTATGGGCAGTGGATGAGGGAGGGAGAGAGTGGAACTGAGATTGGGATGTAGCAGGTGAGTAGGCTTTGTTGTCATCACCACTTTGCTTTCGGCCACCTGGGCTTGTTCAAGGCTATAGGGCTAAGACTGCAATTTCCCCTTCAATCTGAGGCCCTCCAAGCTCCAGAGCATCTCCTCCTGGAAGCTTCCCCTAATAACTACTCACCCTATAAACACCATCCTGTCCCCACCTACATCCAAAAAGACTTCTTTTGGAATTCCACATGTTTTCTCCACTACCACCTGCACCACCCCAGGGTGAAGAAGCATCTAATGGGGCTTCCCTGGTGGCTCAGTGGTTAAGAATCCACCTGCCAATGCAGGGGACACAGGTTCGAGCCCTGGTCTGGGAAGATCCCACATGCCGCGGAGCAACTAACCCCATGCGCCACAACTACTGAGCCTGCGCTCTAGAGCCCACAAGCCACAACTACTGAGCCCGTGCGCCACAACTACTGAAGCCCGTGTGCCAAGAGCACGTGCTCTGCAACAAAAGAAGCCACTGCAGTGAGAAGCACCGCAACGAAGAGTGGCCCCCACTCGCCGCAACTAGAGAGAGCCCGCGTGCAGCAACAAAGACCCAACGCAGCCAAAAATAAATAAATAAAATAAAATAAAAAAAGAAGCATCTAATGAACTAATCCCCACAAGGGCGGTCTTAAGTTGCCCCCTCCTGGGGGCATTTTTTTTTTTTTTAAATACTTGGTCGCTTTGGGTCTTCGTTGCTGCACACGGGCTTTCTCTAGTTGCAGCGAACGGGGGCTACTCTTCATTGCGGTGCGCGGGCTTCTCATTGTGGTGGCTTCTCTTGCTGCAGAGCACGGGCTCTAGGTGCGTGGTCTTCAGTAGCTGTGGCGCGTGGGCTCAGCAGTTGTAGCTCGCGGGCTCTAGAGTGCAGGCTCAGTAGTTGTGGCACACAGGCTTTGTTGCTCCGCGGCATGTGGGATCTTCCCGGACCAGGGCTCGAACCCGTGTGCCCTGCATCGGCAGGCGGATTCTTAACCACTGCGCCACCAGGGAAGCTCCTGGGGGCATTTGAAAGAGGCTCTGGAAAACCAAAATGCCCTCTTGACACCCAAAAGCAATACCTTACACCCCCACAGTAAGCAGTTGTTTGCTGAATTGAAGACCCAAAGGAATGAAAGTATAAGGGTGGTTTTAATGGTAGAATTTAAATGGAAATGCTCGCGCTGGTGTGGGACCCCAGGTGGGACCCCACGTGTGAGGAGCAGAGGCTGACTTCTCCATCAGTCCAGCCGGTGGCCCAAACGGTCCCTTCTAGAGGAGGGCCGTTCCAGCCCCGCCGCTGCCCCCTGGAGGTTGTGCTACAGGTTTCCCGTGAGGCTTGCTCTCAGCCTTCTTCCTAACCCTCCCCCTTCACTTCCTTTCCCCTCCTACCCCGCCTCCAGCTCCCCATTGTGTAACAGGAAGTGCTCAGCAAGACCCCCTGAGGAGGGGAAAGGGGGCTATGCAGGGAAAAAACAGCACTAGGATACTGAGTATAGAGGCACAGCCTCTTCCTGTTCTTCAGACTGGGAATCCCCAGGCACAGAGCCTCTTCCTCTTCAGTTTTTTCCCACTCCCCTGACCCCACCCCAGCCAGACTTAGGGCTTGTCTCATAAGGCCAAGAATCCTCCCCTCCCCTAATGGTGAGGGGCGTCAAAAGGTACAAATTTTCAGTTATAAAATGAATAAGTCATGGGGGTGTAATGTACAGCATGGTGGCTATAGTTAATCATACCGTAGTGCCTATTTCAAAGGTAGGAGAGTGGGTCTTGAACGGTCTCATGACAAGAAAAAAATTTGTTTTTTAACTGTGTATGGTGATGGCTGTTAACTGGACTTACTGTGGTGATCATTTAGCAATATATACAAATATTGAATCATTTATGTTGTATACCTGAAACTAATATAATGTTATGTCACTGACCCCTCAATTAAAAAAAAAAATTCAGTCTCTCTTTTCCCCTATAGTCCATTAAAATGGTAAAGTACATTGAAAACAAATTCTCTCCTCCCCTCAAGCTGCTGGAAAGATCCTTGGACATCATAAAGTAAATGGCCAACCTGAAGATAAAAGCCATGTTGCTCCTTGGGAGCTGGGGTGTGTACCAGAGAGGGGAGGGTGTCAGCAGAAGTCCCACTGAGTCGGACAATGGCAGGAAAGGAAATCACCCAGTTGCCCCTGTGGTTTTCTTCAAGGCTGGGTCTGGGCAGGCCTCCCCTTGCAGGGATGGGCTGTGCAGCTGTTCCCAGAACAGAAGGTAGTACTTCTTCAACTGCTTTTCAAAATATGCTCATAAGTATGTGTGTGGGGGCAAAACAGAAGCAGAAGTGGATTTAGATCTCCCCTATTCGATATTTGTATATATTGCTAAATGATCACCACAGTAAGTCCAGTTAACAGCCATCACCATATACAGTTATAAAAAAATTATTTTCTTGTAATGAGACCATTCAAGACCCACTCTCCTACCTTTGAAATAGGCACTACGGTATTATTAACTATAGCCACCATGCTGTATATTACACCCCACTGACTTATTCATTTTATAACTAAAAATTTGTACCTTTTGACCCCCCTCACCCATTAGGGGAGGGGAGAGAAGGATTTAGATCTTAGAAGTCTTGAACATCAGAGCTTGAATTTTTTCCTAAATGACCTGATTGAATTTCAGAAAGATTTCCTTGGCTGCTATGTGAATTGAATTGAAGGGTTCAAGAGGAGAAAGATTTAGGAGTCCACTGCAATGGTCCAGGCTAGAACTGATAAGATCTGACATGGGGTAGTGGCCAGGGGATGAGAGGTCAACATTGGCCTTGGACTTGAGGAGGAGTGAAGGGACCAGAAATCTTGGTGAGGGGAACCAACAAAAGAAGACTTACTTGCTCTGTAGCCAACCAGGGTGTGGGATACTTTGCCCATATCCGGGGGAACAAGAGCAAAGATCCTCCCAGAAAATTCACATCTTGGTCTTAGAGAGGGCTTGGCCAGGGTTTAGCTGATTCATAGAGTGCTAAAAGGGAAACGGAGGCAGACTCTTAGGGTACACACAGTCACAGAATGGGGGTGTTAGGCCCCAGTCCCAGATTTCCTGCAGTGGCCACTCAGTCCCTCCCCATTACCTGTGGAGAAGGAAGCTCCCTGTTCCAGCATACCAGCCTCCTCGCCCCCACCCCCAGCCCAGGGGTACAGAAAAGACCAATGGGGAACTCTGGCCACGACAAAGCTACTGGAAGCTCCATGGAGGAGGGGCAGCCCTCCCTCCCCACCCAGATGTACAGAAAGAGAGAGATAAATTTGGAATGTACAAGAGGTGCTGGCAGAGATGGGGGGTGTTGGACAAGGCTCTAAGAGGGCAGAGTTTCTGGCAACCTAGCAAACAGGGGTAGAGGTAGCTTCTAGTCCACTTCCCTCCCCTTCCCCATCCCAAGACCAGCTCTTTCTCATGGTTCCTACCATTCCAGTCACTGCTGCCCAACTTCTTGAACCTCTCTTTTTTGTCGTCAGTAGGGGAAGGGGAAACACTTGTTGGCTTAGAATCAGGCCCATTGGGTGGCAACTTCAGAGACACACATTTCAGTGGCTCCCCAGCCTCGGATATGTATAGGCCGGGGCTGGCCCAGGCTGTTGAAAGATGGGTGAAGACTGGGCGGGAGATTCTAGGCTTCTAGATACAGACCACCAGGTTCCAGTCCAGTCTTGGGTACTAATCTTCTGTGTGACTCAGGCCAGTGCCCTTCTCTCTCACTGTTTTAGCTTGTTCATCTGTGCTTTTGTGATTAACAAGGTCAATGGCAGAGGCCAGATTAGAAACCAGATTGCAAGCCAAGGGCTAGTTTGCTGGGATTTGGCCAGTCAAGGGCACTCTTCCCTTTGGCCCTGTCCCAGCACACAGTGAGTGTTCAGTGGGCATGGTGTGTCCCCTCCTCCATCTAAGCTGCCTGCCCTCAATGCCCTTCTAAAATTCTTAACATTTTATTTGACTTCACTTCAGATCTTTTTTTTTTTTTTTAATTGGCCACACCGCATGGCATGTGGGATCTTAGTTCCCCAGCGACCAGGGATTGAACCCGGGCCCCCTGCAGTGGAAGTGCGGAGTCCTAACCACTGGACCTCCAGGGAATTCCATCAATGCCCTTCCAAAGGGTACTCCTCCTCCATGCCAGATGACTTAGGCCTTCCAGATTACTTTACCCAACCTCAACCCCCATGCCATCTCAGCACACACTACTTGGTCCTGGGGTATAGAACTTTATGCAACTATGGAAGTGTTCTATAATCTGCACTGTCCAATATGTGAGCCACTAGTCACACATGGCTTTTGAACACTTGAAATGTGGCTAGTGTGCCTGAAGAACTGGATTCTTAATGATGTTTAATTTTAATTAATTTTAAAATTAAATTTAAGAAGCGACATGTGGCTAGAGGCTACCCAATAGGGTACAGTATCAGTTTTAGGCAGAGTTTTTCTTTGTTCCTTGTTTAGAATTAAGAGTTGATAGGAGTTACCATTTATTTAACACTCTTTGCCAATTTTTGCATAAGTACTTTACAGACACATCTCAGTGAGTCCTAGAAATTCTATTTTAAAGATGAAGAAACCCAGCCTTGAGAGGTTAGGTCAGCTGGCTTCAGACTGCATAGCAAGTGGAGGGCCATTCAAGTGTGAGTCATGCTCTCCAGCCATTTAGGGAAGTTTCCAGGACCCAGCCTGGGTGCCCTCCTTCTACAGTCACTCCACACACAGCCCATGGCTGTGCACCAGGGCCCAGGGAGGCTCATCACTGAATACTGATCAGTAAATGCTCTTGACAAAAAGGAGAGGGAAGCTAATTCCATTTACTCCCCATCTCCTGGCGACTCCTGGCTCCTGACATTCCACTTCAGATGTCTCCTCTCTTGCCTCTCTCCTGGATCACAGTGTCCCTCGGGTCACAAACTCAGAGTTCAACTGGGTGCTACGTGCAGAGGTTTGGGAAGAGGGTGTCACATGCAGGCCCAGAGGAAGCCAGCTGGGCTGGGAGCTGGGGCCTGGAAAAATCCATGTTATTTTTAAACAAGAAAAAAAAAACAAAAACATTATATTAGCTTTTATTGAGCACCTACTTGTGCTAGGCACCTTATATAAATCTGTGCTTATAATTCCCTTAACAACCTGGGAGGTAGCATTATTATCACCATTTTACATATGAAGAAACTGAGGCTCAGTGAGGTTAAGCAGCTTACAGCTTGCAGATGAGTGGTAGAATCATGCGTGAGTGCTCCTAAACTTTCATTAGCATAGCATTCTTCACATTGAGAAAATAGAGGGGGTGGAGGAGTGGGCAAAGAGGTGCATTCTCTAGGGGGTGAGGGACTGATTCTGCTGTCCAAGCCATTCAGGGAAGCTGACCCCTGCCCTGTTTCCCACCTCCCTCATCTGGCAAGCCACTCCTTCCCCAGACTCAGCTGCAAAGTCAGGAGAAACTCACTCTGGCTGAGGTTGCTTTTCTTAGAAAGGGAAAATGGCTAAAATAAAAGACCTTACCCTGTATGTATATCTGTAGGTGTCGATGTGCACGGTAGTTTTTGTGCTAAAGCACACCACTACCAGAATAAGAACATCGCTCCCTCCCCCTATTTTTTTCTATTTCTGGCTGCACCCCCACTTGTGGGGTTCCCAGACCAGGGATCGAACCTGTGCCCCCTGCAATGGAAGCACAGAGTCCTAACCACTGGACTGCCAGGGAAGTCCCTAACATCACTCCCTTTTAAGCCACACCTCACGTGTGCAGAGAGTGAGGCAGCTGAGGAATCTGGAAAGGACTGTTTATTTCCTACTAGAGTCCCAGAGACATCACCCAGGAAGGAACCAAATCAACAATCAAAACCTCAAATTTGCTCCCTGCCCTCTCCCTCCAGGCTTAAGCAGCCTCGGAGGTACTGCACCAAGGACTTATTGTGCCTCGCTCTCTCTCTCGCTCTCGCTCTCTCTCTCTCTCTCTCCCCCCCTCTCCCTCTTTCTCTCTCTCTCTCTCACACACACACACATTCTTGAGTTAAGGCATCAAGTCTGGCCTGCATGGCTTTGCAAGTCTTTGCCCATCAGGCGGTGGCCCTGGCCCAGGGCTGAACCATGTGTGTACACAGATGCATAAGTGCGGTGTTAGGAGCTCTTCACAAATGAGGGACAATGATGATGGCTCTGTGCTAAGCCTACTCCACCTGTCCTTTGGGAAGGGACCTCCTGCCTCCTTGTCAGTTGGCCAAGTACCTCTGTCTCTTCTCGCCAGCTGGGGTGGGACCAGGTCAGCCACAGGTCAGGCCAGTGCTGGGGACTCAGGACCTGGCTTCCAACACTGAAAATGTGCCCTTTCTAAGTGTGGCTGGGGGCTATTTTGGGACCTTAAAGAGGATCAAGTCACCACCTCAGAAGGACAAAGATGGCCACTCAGGCCAGGATGGAGGGTGAGGTTTCTCTCTGTGCTTTTAAAACCCAACCGTGTTTAACAGGAAGAGAGCTGACCTTTTTCCTCTGTGCTCTCTTGCCCCCAGCCCAGGGAAGAGGTTTCTGTAGACTGGAGTGAGTATGGAGAGAAAGAGGGCTGTTAGGACTGTGCACTGGAGTGGGAGGTTGCGTTAGCATCTTCTCCCCTGGACTTACAGGAGCTGGCTCCAGCACATTTACTTCAGTACCCACTTAGTGGGTGGTACAGAGGTGGGGACTTCCTGGGGATACCCGGTGTGGCTGCGATGCAGGGTTAGAGGCCTACATGAAGACTGGGGTTAGGGCTGTGGGGTTTCTGGGTCCTGGGCTGGGTCAGGATGCCCAGATGAAGTAGGCGACCTCGTCCAGGTCAACGGGGTAATCCGTGAGTAGCACTGGCGTCTTGTCGAAAAGCTCACCCTTATAGCTGCGCCACTTGCCTGCGGGCAGGTAGACGTCCCGCTCCTGCTTGCCTGGCTCCAGTACCGGCGCCACAAGCAGCGTGTCTCCGATAAGGAACTGTGAGTCGATGCGGTGCGCCGTCTCGTCGCCGGGCGCGATCCACCAGAGGGGGCGCACGATGGGGTCTCCCGTGTCAGTGACCTCACCAGCCAGCTCAAGCAACAGCGGCGCCACGAGTGAGGCCCTCAGTGCAGTGAACTTGTGCGCGATGGCCACCACTTCGGCGTCGTAGCGCCAGGGTGGAACGGAGAACTGCATAGCTGGCATGAAGGCGGCCACTTCCAGCCAGCGCACGTAGAGCTCGCGCTCGGGCACATCGCCGCCGCTCACTGTGCGCTCAGACACCGCGTTGCCACCCACCATATCGGGCAGGATGAACGGGTAGCCCAGCATGCTGACAGTGAGCACGGCGGGGATGAGCGAGCGCAGCCCCAGATCGTAGCCCCACACCGAATCGCGGTCCACCAGGCGGAAGAAGCACGAGATGTTCTGTGACTGGTAGCCCACACGGACCTCGGCCAGTGAGAAGAAGGGCAGCGCCATCTCTGTGTAGCGCCGGCTCCATATGTTGGGGTCAGACAGCGGCCTGTAGGTGCTGAAATCCCGCGGCAAATAGCTGACCTCTCCAGCATCGAACTTGAAGGAGGCCACGGCGTAGCGCGAACGCAGTTGCCGCAGATGCCCCTGAAACCAGTCGCGGGCCTCCGGGCGCGTGAAGTCGAGCACGGCGCCGATGCCATTCCACCAGCGCACGAGAGCAGGCAGCCGGCCCGTGGGTTCACGCACAAACAGCTCGCGCTCCACGCCTTCGCCAAAGCACGATGAGTTGTAGTTGACAAACGGGTGCACCCAGAGTGTGACGCGAAAGCCAGCGTCGCGCAGGCGGCGGAACATGTCGCTGGCGTTGGGAAACTTGGTCTCGTCGAAGTCGAAGTCGCCATAGGCAGGCGTGTACATGTCGTCGATTTCCAGATGGCTGCTGTTGAAGCGGTGCTGGCGGATCTGCTGAGCGAAACGCTGCACCTTGTCCTGGTCCACCGAGCGCCCGTACAGCACCCACGTGGACCAGATGGGGTCCCGGAAGGCCTCAGGCGCTGGCACCCTCGATGGCTTGTTGAAATAGCGCCGCACCATGTACTTGTGGATGGAAGTGACATCGGAGCCGACGCACACGCGATAGCTGAGCTCGGGTGCAGCAGCGCGGCCGGCGGGCGGCTTGTACGGCGTGTCGTGGTAGCGTGCCTGCAGCCGCAGAGAGCGCTCCGTGCTGTTCCAGCCCAGGTGGAAGGGCACTGAGTCGTTGACCTTGATGGCAGCCGCGCGCGACGACAGCCAGTAGCGCTCGAGGATGCCTCCAAATGCGGCGTCGGAGGAGTAGACGTCGCTGGTGACGAAGGGCTGAGGCTCCTGCTGGCCGTCCAGGCGGATGGGCCAGTGCTGGGTCTTCATCTCCGCGCCGCCGTACCAGTGCGCCCCCGCGTCGCCCAGGAACATGGCGTGCTCCACCGCGCGCCCCGGCGCCGCCTCCTCCCAGCGCACGCGGTAGCACATGACCGTGTCCTTGGGCCGCACAGTCTGGATGAAGAAGTGCAGCGGTCGCCCATCCGCTGTGCGGGAGCAGCCAAGCCGGGCGCCATCGCGGCTGCAGGAATCGAGGTCCAGTGCGCCCGAGCGGAAGGCCAGGCGGAAGACCTGCTCGCCCTTCTGGTTGCGAATGGAGAAGCCGCTGCGGTTGAGGTCCAGCAGCTCGGCGCGCAGGCGTTCCGCCTTGCGTAGAGAGGCGCTGTAATAGCACCAGGCCACCACCGCGGCCAACACCAGCAGCAGCCCCAGCACTGCGGAGCCCAGCAGCGGCTTCAGCTCTTTGGACGGCTTGGGCTTGGTAGGCGAGAAGCTGTCAGGCAAGAAGGTGTACATGGTTGCAGCTGCGACGGCCTCGGGGCTCTTACGACCTGTGTGGCTCCCAGGGCGGCGGCGGGGGTAGGCCTGGCTCTTTTCCTGAGGATTCTGGGACATCAGCCCCCAGTTAGGGAAGGAGCAGGCAGTGGGGCCACCCGACAAAGCCCATCTGAACTTGGCCTGCCTGAGTCAGGAAGGGGAAGAGAGAGGTGGAACTGAGCTTTCTCATTCCATAGTATTTACATTTGCTGCCGCAAGAAAGAAGTGTATATTTTGGGAAAGTGTATACTGGGACGTAAGGGCTTTACTCTTACCAGGTCGTTCTGTCTGCATTTTACCTACCCTTTCTCATGGGCCCCACTGCTTGTCAAAATTAGGACGCTGAAGGGGAGGGGCAGATGATATTCATCACCATTTTCCTGGTGGAGGAACAAACCCAGACAGGGTCAGGAAGCTGTCCAGGATCACAAAATTAATCAGGTCTCCTTGGATCACACATGGGGGCAGTTCAGGCTGAAGAGAAGGGGAAGAATCTGGAGAGGGCCTGGTTTCCCAGACATGTGGCCATGGTGGGAGAGGGGGGATAAGCAAGCCAGCTCCTTAAGACCTTTGACACAGCAGGCGGCTGGCTTCCCTGTGCGGGGAGTGGGAGAGGAGAGAGGAAGGGGAACCGTTCAGGCATGGAATTTAATCTTGAGTCAGAAGCCATATTAAATCTGGAGATTAGAGAAGATACTCAAAGCCAGACTCAGTCCAAGGGCCTGGTTTGGAGGGGGGGTGAGGTTGGGTTTGGACTTTAGGACTGGGGTCAGGAGCCTAACATGGGGGCTTGGTGGCTTCTCACATTTCCCTCTCTTTGCTCTCAAACTCCATTCTGCTCTCAGCCATCAGGATCACCAAGTCCATTTCCCTGCCCACCTTCCTGCTCTGCTCCCAGCACCACATCTGTGGGCCAGCCACCTCCTGGCTTTGTCTCTGGCACTCACCCACTGTCCTGTTTGCCCCTCCCCTAGTTAGAGCACTGTCATTTCTCCCCTGCATCGTTGCAACACTTCCCCTATAGGCCTCCCTGCTTTCAACTTGTTTTCCTCCAATGCCTTCTGCTCACAGCAACTATACTGATCTTTCTAAAACACTTATCAGATTACATCTCTCCCTAGTTTAGGGAGCTGCTCATGACCCCCATGATGAAGTTCAGAAGTGTAAGCTTTGCAAATTGAAGTTCAAGGCATACATGGTCTCATCTGTCCTTCTGATTCCATTTTCAGCCAAGCCTATCCTATGACTACCAAGCTCTGTTCTTTCCTAACCTCAGTCCTCAGCCACCTGCTTTAGGAAATTTCACCCACCCATCTTGGGCCAACTTCTCTCCCCCACCTACCAGCTCTCTGGCAATCAGACACCCCCTACTACACAATCCACTCTTATATACTGTATGCTAAAGATTCAGATATGACTACAGAGAAACACAGACTTGGGAGGAGGTGTGTGTCCAAACCTGCTGTTCAAGGCTACTGACCCTTCCTGTCTCAGCCCTCAGGGCAGAGTCCAGCAAAGAAATAGCACCAGCCACGTGCATACACAGACATACACTGCCAGCCTGTCGGCTGCCCATCTGCTCCAGCTGGAGGGAAGGAGAGAGGGAGATTGGCAAACAGTAATTAGACTCCTCCCAGATGCCAGTCCCCAGCAATTTCCAAGGAGACACCAGAATTGCTCAGCGTTCTCACTTCCCCCACCTCTCCCATGAAGAGATTATCAAGAATGCCAGGTGCCAGGTGCAGATTGGAATTTTTATCCCAGATGTCAACATACAGCTCCCCATAATGCCCCCCCCCACCCCAGTGAGGTTCTATCTCAGTGCCTTATTCTCTGAGCTCCCTCCCCCAACTCCCTTAACTGGTCAGTTCCAGCTGGTCTAGAACAGCCTCTTATTCCCTTCCTCTCATCCCATACAACTTAGCCTTCAAAATTCCCCCAACCTACTACGGACTTCCCTTCCTGTAGGTACAGGCTGGAAAAGCCTTCCTGGAAAATGCAGGCATAGCCTTTAGCTGATGCCCTTAAGCTAAGCAGGACCCAAAGAAGGCCTTAGGTGGCCCAGGCCAGACCTGCTGTACATTTATATTCAATTCATTCGAGACAACCAAGGCCCCATTCTGGGCACTAAGGGAATAGGGAGTCCGTATCTGAGTAGGACAGAGGTTGCTCATCCTCAAAACTTTCATATTAAGTCAGCCTATCTCATGACCCCTGGAGGCATGGCCAGCCCACCAAGGTGACCTCAAAAGCCTTTTCAAACACTTAGGTCTTGAGAATTTTTACTTTCTAGGGTTCTGAGGTTCTTTGATGAAGGACAAAAACCCAGAGGCCCTCTGTTGGTCTCTGTAATGCCACCATGGCATCCAACCCTAACAATAATGCTGAATAGGAGGCACAGCTGCAGTGCCCATTTTATAGATGAGGAAACAGTGGCCCAAACAGAAAAAGGAACTTGTTTGAAGTCACTTAGGTAGCAGGGTTGCCTGAATCCAAAATCCCAGCTTAACCCTGACAGGGAGCTAATGGCCTGACTGGATATCTGAATGCAGGAGAGAAAAGGAGTTTTGTGGCCAAGAGGGTGGGACAGGCTTCCATCAGGGGGCTGTGGGCATGGTGAGGCCTGTATTCCCAAGGGCTGGTGCTGCTACTTGCCCCAGGAAGACTTCTTGGGGATGGGAAGTGGCGATTTTAATGGCATCTGGTACAGGGGCTGTAGGGGAGGAAGTGTGGTTCTGGTGTTAACGGTGGCGCTAGAGACCCCTGTAATCTGCCGCCTCCACCATCTGGCCAGCCACAGGCTAACGCTGGCAGGTAGGGTTTGCCCTAGCCAAGCCTCTCCCCACTTGACAGTCAACCTCAGTGTTGGCTTCCAGCCCCTAGCCATGTCTAAGGGGGAGGGTCGGGCCTAGCCAACTAGGCCATTCCACGTTGGGTCCTTTGTCCAACACAATTCCCAGGGGTAGGGTGGGGGGTGGAAATGCCAAAGGCAACTCTATCCGGGCCCTCTCCCCGTCCTGCCCAGCGAGCGGATCCGGGGGTATAGAGTGACTGAGCCTACAGCCTGGAATACTCTACACCCACTCCCAGCGCTGCAGCTATAATGTCCTAAAAGGACAGACTGAGGTCAAGAGGGCGGTCGCCCGCTGGGAACCGCGGCCGAAGAAGGGGCCCAGGTGTCCAGGCTCGCCCCACCTACTCATCTGTAGGAGCGAAAGTTCAGGAAATATTTTCCCTCAGCAACCCCCCAAGGCCTTCCCGCTGGGCGAACTCACGGAAGTGACCCCAGAAGTGGGGGGTGAATGGAGGCTCCTGCAGATCCCCTCCAAGTTAGCCGAAGTTGAGCTGCCACGGTGCGGCGCGGGTCGCTGCCTAGCTGGGAACAGCTGAGGCCGTCCTCGAGCCCCGCCCCCTGGCTGCTCGGCCACGCCCCAGTCATTCGGTCTCGTCAAGTCTCGGAGTCCAGCTCCGCCCCTGGCGCCCGACCATCCTCCCACATTGTCACGCGCACTTGAGGTCACGCCCCTTACCTCCCACCTTCCTCTTCTGTTCTGTGCCCAGCTCCTGGCAGCTCAGGCCCACCTCCAGCCCGGTGCCTCCCGGTTCCGCCCCCCGCCTGCAGGCCCGCCCCCTCTGGACCTTTGCTTACCCGCACGCGGGCGGGGCTCTTCCCCAGGTCTGCTGGGAACTGTAGTTCTGGAGGGAGGTGCAGCTGTCGAATGTTAGGGTTCTCGCACCTGTCGGCTAAATTTGAGATGTGTATGAGAAGGAGCGAGCCGCAGGGTAAAGGGACAGAGTTGGCCCTTGGGATTCCTTTTCCTCCAGATTTGGGGAGGTTGAGGCCGTCTCGGTATAACGCTCTCATTAGCTCTTTTCCCATATGGAAAAAGGGTAGCGGAATTCTGGGAGGATCTCAGCGGTTCAGTGCAGGTCGGATCCAATCAAGGACCCCACGGAGTGGAGCCTAGTTCCATCAGCCGGGAGGCCCAAGCTGTCAGCTCCCACCGGATCAGACCAGCAGTGCCTGAGATCAGGGACTGAGAAGACCGGATTCTGCTCCGTATTTTGCAGTCTTCTCCCACCCACTCCCCTTGGTGGCAGCCCTTAGAAGTGCCCCTGCTGCGAGGAGGTGGGCGTGCCCCGCTATACACCCGCACCCAGGAGGAATGGGGTGCAAAAATACTGAAGATCCTAGAGGCTCCAGAACACCCCACAGCTTGCTCCCTGAGGGACAGAGAAACAGGGCTTTTTTTTTTTTTTTTTTTTTGCTGCGTTGGGTCTTCATTGCAGCACGTGGGCTTTCTCTAGTTGCAGCGAGTGGGGGCTACTCTCCGTTGCGGTGTGCGGGCTTCTCATTGCAGTGGCTTCTCGTGTTGCGGAGCACAGGCTGTAGGCACGCGGGCTTCAGTAGTTGTGGCTCACGGGCTCTAGAGCACAGGCTCAGTAGCTGTGGCGCACAGGCTTAGTTGCTCTGTGGCATGTGGGACCTTCCTGGACCAGAGATTGAACTCATGTCCCCTGCATTGGCAGGCGGATTCTTAACCACTTAGCCACCAGGGAAGTCCCCCAGGGCTTTGTTTTATTTTGTTTGTTTTTTAATTTTTGAATTTTATTTTATTTATTTATTTTATACAACAGGTTCTTATTAGTCATCAATTTTATACACATCAGTGTATACATGTCAATTCCGATTGCCCAATTCATCACACCACCATCCCCACCCCCCCCACACGGCTTTCCCCCCTTGGTGTCCATACGTTTGTTCTCTACATCTGTGTCTCAACTTCTGCCCTGCAAACCGGTTCATCTGTACCATTTTTCTAGGTTCCACATACATGCGTTAATATACAATATTTGTTTTTCTCTTTCTGACTTACTTCACTCTGTATGACAGTCTCTAGATCCATCCACGTCTCAACAAATGACTCAACTTCGTTCCTTTTTATGGCTGAGTAATATTCCATTGTATATATGTACCACAACTTCTTTATCCACTCATCTGTCGATGGGCATTTAGGTTGCTTCCATGACCTGGCTATTGTAAATAGTGCTGCAAGGAACATTGCGGGTGCATGTGTCTTTTTGAATTATGGTTTTCTCTGGGTATATGGCCAGTAGTGGGATTGCTGGGTCATGTGGTAGTTCTATTTTTCGTTTTTTAAGGAACCTCCATACTGTTCTCCATAGTGGCTGTATCAATTTACATTCCCACCAACAGTGCAAAAGCATTCCCTTTTCTCCACACTCTCTCCAGCGTTTGTTGTTTGTAGACTTTCTGATGATGCAGGGCTTTGTTTTGTAATTTGAAATTTCTTGATCATGAAACCCTCCAAAATTGTTTTGGACCTCTTGGACTTGGGTGGGGGAGGGCAGCAAGGGTATCTGAACGTGGACTTCGGAGTCGCTGTGATGGAGACTCTGGGAACAGAGATCAAGAGCTTTGAGTATAGGGACATGGCTCTGACTGCAGGATGGGCGATTCTGGGTCCACTGAGATAATGGGGGTGAAGGGACATCTAGGTTTGGGGGATATTGGGGAAATGGCAGCTGTGGGGCCCTCATAGGATGGGAGGTAGCTGGGCCCTCCTGCGTGGCTAGGTGGGCCCATTATTTTGGGCTCTGGGATGGAAAGGAGGAGGTCATGCCTCTCATAGGGCTACTGCCATGTGTCAGGAGGGCACTCAGGGCCACCCAAGGGAAGTACTGAGATGATGGAGTGGGGAGGGCTCAGGGCAAGATGACTTTGAGAAACTGTATCTCAGTTGAGGGGGCTTGGCAGAGGCCTGAGTGACTGGCTCCTCATTGCCAGATCCTGCTGGGTAAGGACATGAGAGGCAGCCTTTAGGATGAAGAATTTATTTATTGTTCAGCCCCCTTGGCCCGGCCAGCCCGGGCTCTACCGGCAGTGGTAGTCAGGATAGGTCTCAGACACAAACTCAGGGTGGACGACGTAGTTGTTTCTCTGGGCGCCACCGGTCTTCTTGAAGTGACTTGTGTCCCATCTGTGGGGAGAGATGGGTCGGCCCTTTTGGACCCTCATACGTCTGACTCCAATTCTCAATGCTAATCTTACCCCAACATTTTGTCCCGAATAATGGCCCTAGGCTCCAACACTGACCTCTTGACCTCAGGTTCTACTGTTAAATTTTTGACTCCCGATACCCGCTCCCTAACACTGACTTTTTACTCTTTAATTCAAGCCCTGAACCTAACGCCCTGATCTCTTGACTCTAAGCCCCACTGCCAACATGTAAACCCTCAATGCCACCTCCATGCCCTCTCATTTAGTTGCCAGCTTTGACTTCCCCATGGCACCATCGCCCCCTGGTGTCATCTTCCAGTCGGTGCATCGCAGCGGTCAGTTATCCCAACTAGTCCCTGGGTCCCCCGCCATGCCAAGGTTACAGCTTCTGTGTGGGTGCGCATTTGCATGTGTGAGCGCCAGATTTACCTAAGGTTCGGACAAGGGTAGTATGACGGCGGGGGAGTTATAACAGCACATTGCATTCCCGGCCGGTGCTTGCAGGGCGATACACTCCTGGAGAAGGAAGCAGTGGGCAGGAATGGGTCGGGCCTTTTGACTTCCTTCTACGCCCCAACCCAGACCAAGACTCTGAGCTGCACTTCAGGTGTCAGTCCTACTGCTCGGAGATCCTTCCTTCCGGCCTCCTGTCCCTTCAAGACCTCGAAACGTCGCCTCTGGGAAGACACCTGAAGTCCCTCTCCCCCTAAGGCCTCGTTTCTGCCGCCCAGGCTGGGCGGCGGAGAACGCTGTACTCTGGGGAGGGTTGGGGTACAGTCATTGAGGACCTGGGAGCCCCCGGATCCTCAACATGGGACAGCAATTACTCCAGCTTATCGACGAGGCGACGTTTCTGAGGCTTAGGCACTTTCTCGCTCCTCCACGCCCTTGTGAGGGATAAGACCCAGTTTCGCACAATGAATCAGTCTCTCTCAGCCTGGGGAGGGATGGGGTATCACCACGGGGTTAGGGACAGCGTTCAGGATCTCCCTCCCCCTTTCACAGCTCTCTAGACAGACGCAGACATTGGAGTTCTCCTAGGCTCAGCCAGCCTTGTCTAACGCCAAGTGCAGGGAAAGGGCCGCGTTGCAGTCTGGGCTTCTGCTGAGCGCTCGAGCTTCAGTTTCCTCCACAATAACACGCGAGGCTGTCTACCTCCAGAGGTGGTGCGGGGCCCCGAGGAGGCCAGGGCCCTTCTGGTAATGCGGTCACCACTTCCTTGCCTTCTTAGAACCCAGCGATGACCCTGCCCATTACCAACGGTGACCCGAGGCCCAGGAATAGGGGACACTGTTCTGAGGACACATGGCACTCCGCAAACTAGAACCTGCGTCTCCAGGGTCGGGTGACCAGGTAGGGGGCGGGGCCGGCGGGTGTGGGAAGGGGGAGCAAACTGGTGCGCGGAGTTTGTTCCTCAAAGAAACCCTCGGGCAGAGCCTCCAGAAGACGTACAGGAGCCAGGTTGACCTTGAGCCCAGTTCAGGAGGGATAGAATCAGGAACTCGGGTATCTCCGTGCAGGTTCTCCCGCCTCAGCCGTACGTTCAGGCCATGAGGCCCCAGGGCGGGACAGGGAGGCGCCAGTAAGCGGACCGCGCGGGCTGGAGGCGGGGTGAGGTCTGGCACAGAGGCAGGTCAGAGCTAGAAGTGGTTCGGGATGGACCGTCCGCAGCTGGGGTAGGGGGGCTCGGGGGGCGGGGCTTGCTTGGGGGCGGGGCCCGGCTACTGCGCGCGCGGCCCTGCGAACCTTGCAGTCGGCCGCTCCGTGCGCAAAAGCCGCAGGCGACGTTCGGTGCATGGTGGCCCGGCGACGCAGTAGTCCATGCCAAGCAGACAGTGGCGGCCCGAGCAAGCGCTTTCATAACCCTGGCAGGGCAGGCGGCCCGGCAGCGGGTCCACACACCCACAGCGGGGCGTGATCTCTGGCAGCGGCTTGTTCCGTGACAGCGAGTTCAGCATGTTCACCACTACCTCGCGCTCTGCGCCCGCGGGCCCCGAGCCCGGGAGACCCAGACACAGAGTCACAGGAATGGGAAGAGACAAGGTCAGAGACAGAAAGAGATGGAGACACAAACAGAGACAAGGTTACAGCCTCTCCAGGGCCCTCGGCCTCCGCCCCGTACCTCGGGTCTCCATCCCTCCGTCCTTCTGGCCTACACATTCCCCTCCACTGTCCCACCATCCGTTACCGTAGGCGTTGAGTCGCTCCGGCTTAGGAGGGTACACCAAGGGCATTCCTCGAACTACTGTCTCCATCCCGGCCTCCTGGAAGTGGCACACACGCTGCCTCAAGCTCTGACCCGGAAGAGTTCCTCCTTTGGGGGTTCTCCCAGAACACGCAGACTAGTTCCAGGCCACGCCTTCACCCGCCCTCCAGAAGCTCCCCTACTCTCCCACGTTCTGAGTGTTTGGGGTTGTCGCTGGGCAACGCGTTTTACTCCGCCTCCCAGGTGGTGGGGGTGGGGGAAGTGGAGCTGTAGGTGGACCAGGTCTGGACCTGCACCTCTGACATCCCTGTCTCACCGTTTGCCTCTGATTTTACCCTTCTTTGTCTAGCCGACTCTGTGTAGCTGTGTCTTCGTGTCTCTCTAATAGGGATTTTTCAATATTGCAGTGTTGCCTGCCCATCAGAATCACTTGGGGAACTTATGAAAAATTCTGATTCTGATTCTTGAAGTTCTGATTCAGAAGGGTTCGGTCAACCTGAGGTCGGCCATCAACCTACAGTTAAGAGCCCCTACTCTTGCCTGGTATCCTTACATCTTCCCTCTTTCTTCATGCCTAGGGCCGTGGCTGGACTCCTTCCTATCTCTTTGGAAGACTCTCCTGTATCTATCTGCTCTGCCTCTGGATGGCCTTGTTCTCCCTCCTTTGTCCTTGCTCACATCACAGAGGAGGGGAGAGGAGCAGGTAGACTCAGCCTATCAATGACTTCTTGGCCAGACCATGTGGGAAGGCGCCAGGTGGCAAGCTTCAGGAAGGTAGCGCCTCAAGGAGTGCGCACCAGCCATGTCTCCACAGAGCCTAGCCAGAGATTGGGACCCAGAGGCCCAGCACAGCTTCACTCCTGAGCTCCCTTGTTTCCTAGAAAATATAAACCCTAGTCTCACAAATGGGAAAAGGCCTTGGAGCATTGTTGGTGGGAAAGGGATGAGAAACTAATGGTGAAATATCAGACACTGTGGTTTGGGAGGCAGATGGGGGGTGGGGGGTGGTCCCAGGCCCCAGGCATCTTTGCTGGGCACAGTAGATACCTTAGGCAGGCGAGGAAGGTATGTGGCACATTTGTTCCAGCCCGTACAGTTGTAAGGTCCCATCTTCCATGTATTGTACTGGTTACCGCACAGGTGGTTTGGGTTGCATTTGTCTGCTTGATCATAGGGGTGGAGACATAAGACAGTATTACTCCTTATTCTGCCCCAGGATCTGGGACCCCTTCGATATTTTTCCTCTGATCCCCAGCACAAAGCTGGACGCTCACTCATCTCCCTTAGGCCAGAAAAGCCCAGCCTGGCCCCATACTTGTCTTAGACACTGAGATGCAGCCTATATCCCACCTAAGACAAGCTTCTGAGTGGAGCCTGGGTCCTTTGAGCTGATCGCTTTTCATCCTGGCACCACCCTCTCTGAATCAGCCAACCTGGAAACCCTGGAAATGGGCCTCCTCCCAAATCCTCCCTCTCATCTTCCACATCCAGGCTCAAAGTTTGCTTATTCTGCCTCCTTAAAATCACTTGACTCTATTCTTTCTTCCAGTCCCCCATGATATCACTCCTGTATCTCTGCAGTGCCTAAACCAGGAGACAAGAATGTCATGGTTAATAGGATGGACTCTGTAGACTGACTCCTGTGGTTCAAATTTCAGCTCTGCCATATATTAACTGTGTGTGACCTTGATCTAGTTAATTAATTTCACCTTGTCTCTATTTCCTTAATTTTAAAATGGGGGTAATAATACTATCTACCCCATAGGGTCCTTGTGAAATTTAAATAAGTTATTATATGTAAAACATTTAGAACAATGCCTGGCACAGAGAAAACTATCATCATCATCATCATCATCACCATTATTATTATTGTTTTTATTATTGTTATTAGCCTACTGGTCTTCCTGCCTCATTCTGAAATCCTACAATCCGATCTCTACATAGAAACTGTGGCACTTATGATAAATGAAAATCTGACCAAGACAGTTCTCTACTTAAAACCCTCCAAAGCCCCACCTATCCAGTCACCTAAGTGTCCTGTAAGTTCCTCTCTGATCCACCACTCTAACAGTGTGAAAGAATACATGTGAGAGATTAGGAAAGGAGTTCTAGGAGCCCTAGAGTAAGAGCAGGTGCGTGTATGTGTGGGACAGTGTGTTGGGACTTGGAGTTCTAGGTTGGTGGGTTGGACATACTGAGTTTAAAGTGTTTGGGGCCATTCAGGTAAATTTGATCATAATCAGATAAAGGAAAGTGGAATCCTGGTAAGAGGACAAGACTAGAAATAAACACTTAGAGTTGTCAGTAATTAAAGATGTGGGTTAGATTAAACGGTCTCAGGAGAGGAATAAGGAGAGAGGAGGGTCCGATCAGCATCCCGAGGAACCCCATGTTTCCAGAATGATTAAACAAGAGACCCAGCAATTGAGGCATCAGAGAAGCTGAGGAAGGAAAGAGTTTCACAGAGAGTGGTCAGAGTGAAATACATAGGGTAGGTCTCATGAGGAAAAGACTGAAGAGTCCCATGGATGAGGTAATTAGAACCATACAAGATCAGTTTTAATAAACATTAAACATGAGTGTAGGAGATGCAGACTCCCAATTTCAATTGAAGATTAATCATCAATTCATTCAACAAATACTTATGAAGCCTGCTGCTATTCTAGGTGGAGGGGGCACAGCTCTAAATCAAACAAGACTCTCTGTTCTTTTGGAATGTACAGGAAGACATAATAAACCCCTAACCAAATGAGAAAGATAATTTCTCATAAGGCATAAGGAGTGAGGAAGTAGAGACATAGACTCTATTTCCAAGAATCTTGGCTGTGAAGGGGAGGAGCGACAGAGAATTTTTAGACAGGAGGAAATTAGAAAAGTCTTCCAGGTTGAGGGGAGAGAGATGTGGTGAGGCAGAGGGATGCAGGAGAGAAGGGAACCTGATGGAGCAGGGTCACTAAGAAGATGGGAGGAGATAGCACCGGAATACACATGGAGGAATTTGTTTGGAGGAGGTTAATGCTCCCTCCCTCTCTCTAGGGATAAGGCCCAGGCCCCTTCCAATTCTTTGGCATAGACTGGGAGCTCCCAAAAGGCAGAGCCTGGATCTCCTCCTCCAGGGTCAGGGGTCAGGATCAAGGTCACGCCAGGTGGTTGGGAATCAAGCTGGAATGGGGGTAATTAGAGAAGAAGCCCTGGTCGAGGATGGGGATAAGGTTTGTATAGGATCAGGGTGGAGGTCAGAAGTCAAGTTGGGTTCAGGTGTAGGGTCTTTGTTGGGGTCACTGAATGGGGTCACAGTTGGGTGATGGGTGAGGCCCTACCTTCCTCTTGAGACAGCCAGTATTTCTCAGGCAAGTAGGGGTGGCCTGGTATGGAATTCTTATAGCGGTAGTCCTGCACAGCACACTTGACCGTCTTCTGCTGGGCTTCAGGATCCACGTGGCGCTGCACAGTCTGAGTCAGGCCCTGTCAAGGAGAGAGGGGAGGAGATGGCTAGGTGCATGGAGACCCCAGCCTTGGTATCCAGCTGGACCTAGATTTAGCCCCTATTGAGGTCAGCCCAGGTGCGTCTCCCAACCCTCTCCCTATGCCAGAGGGATCCCCAGGCCAGCCTTGGTTCCCTCTGCATAGTTCTTTTGCTTGAATCACCCTTTTCTCCTTTTCTTCCATCCAAGGCTCGGACTTGGAACCCAACATTTTCCCTCAGTCAGAGTGGTTTTCTGATGTTCTTCTCATTTCTGTCCTTTCCTTGACTGGGACCTATAAGGGCAGAGCTGGGTGTTCCTGTCCTCTTTCTTCCAGACTGTGTGCTGCCTGGGAGCAGGGCCTGGGTCTTCCCCAACAGAGCAACAGGCCCGTGGAACAACCTCAGGAAAGGCTGGCTGCCCCGGGAGCTGGCTACCTTAGGCAGGTGTTTTGGACAGGAAGGGCTCTCTGTGAATCTGGCATCTTGAAGGAGATGAAGGATGGGGCCAGAGGGGCACCTACTTTAAAATCTAATTCTCTGACTCCAACCTGACCCTAATTCTGCTGTGGCTCTCATCTTGACACCAATATTACCCTTGACCCTGACATATACGTTGTGCTGGTCCACATCCTATCCTGATTTTTTCCCTGATCTTGGTTCAGGCTCTGGGCCCCTCTGCTTCTCGGGGTTCACCTCATCTTATCCCAACACCCCTTGTTTGGCTGGGTCTGTAGAAGCCCAGATCAAGGGCCCCCTTGTCCTCAGCTAAAGGCCCATTGCCAAGTTAGTTGTGGGCCCATGTCTCTGTAGGCAGCTAGGATGAAAAGGCAGCTGGGTTCCAGGGGTGGGACACCCAGCAAAGTCAGACACCAGAAAGGACTTTCTCATCATAGTGGGCAGCAAGGTGCTGGGATGACGCTGTTGCACTGCATTTCACCCTTATGATCTGAAGAGCAGAGGCTTCTCTTGGCCTGGGATGAGACCTTGCTGCTTCTAGTGCTCCTATTCCCCTGAAAACCCCTCAGCTGAGGGGCTTCTTGGATCCTCCGTGCCCAGCTGAGGTTTTGTTCTGTGGGCAGATCCTACACAGTCATACTCCATATGGGTGGAGGGGCCCCATGACTTAGCACTCCCCTGAGTTTTACATACACACAAACACATGCACATCCAGACATACACATAGATCTGTGCGCCCAGATACACTCATAGACAGATGTACATCTATACATACACACTCAGACACGCTCACACACACACACACACACACACACAAATAATCATTTAGAAGAACTCACAGACTCTTCAGTGTTTCCATTCGAGGCTTTCCTCAGATGTCTGTAATCTTTGACTGCTCATGTTTATGAGTAGGAGACTAAAAAGGCTCATTGGAGGCTTTGAGCTGTGGGTGGGCGTCATTGTAGGATGCTCTGGCTAGACTATTTGTTGCAAACTCTGTCAGTATCTGTAGGTCTTTTCTCTTGGGCTGATCAGATCCCTCGGAAGAGACTCTTTCAGTCTTTGGCTTGAGAGTAGTGACCTAGCTGCCATTGTTCTGAGAACCTAGTGGAGAAGAGGGCTGCTGGGGGTTTAGCATTCAGCATATGGAGGTTCATCTGTTTTCAGTATGGTACCCTGACCTTAACTGGAATCTCCAGTCCTGAGATCCTTGCTAAAAAATAAGCCTTCTGACTTTTGCAGAGATGGGTGAGCAGTCACCCTACGGCGTGGAATAGAAGAGGGGGTTTAATTGCTTCTTAGCTTTCAAATCATTATTGTTTCAGCCTTGGTCCTGTCCCATCTTCTGTTCCAGAGAAACCTAGTATTACCAATTTCTGAGCCTTTTAAAAATTCTGCAGTTTTAAGTTGAATTATGTCTTGTGTTTCCCACTGCTGGCTTTGGATTCAGCTTTCTCAGATCTGCTGTGTCAGTTACTACTTATCTATCACACTTTCCAGCTTCTGAAATTTTGTCATTGTCCTTCCTTCTCACTATTCTTGCAAATTTATGTCTTAAATATGCATTTATTGTAGTTTTCGAGGGGTTTTAGGAAGGAGTCAAAACGTGTTCCTTTCAACCCAGAGAATTATAGTTCTTTATATATTCTACATATTCCTTTGTCAGTTACATGTTGCAATTATCGTCTCTCAGTTTGTGGCTTGTAACTTCATTTTCTTTTTGGTGTCTTTTGATGAACATAAGTTCTTAATTTTAACATAGTTGAATTTATTCATCTCTTATGTAGTGCTTTTGTGACTTAGGAAATCCATCCATAATCTAAGATAATGGAGATAATGTCATAATTTTTTCTAAAATTATACAGTTTTACTTTCCATATTTGTGCCTTAATCTGTCAGGAATTTGTTTTGGGGTTTGGTGTGAATTAGGGGATCAATTTAGTTTTTATCCACATGGATAACCAGTTGTCTCATTGAGTAACCTATCTTCTCCCACAGATTTGTAATGCCACCCCAAGCCTGAAACATCTTTTCCCATAGCTTTACTTTCAGTCATCTCTGTTGTATATCGTTTCCATATATGTGTGGCTCCATTTCTGGTCTGTTTTATTCCATTAATCAATTTGTGTATCCCTACAGTAATATTATGCTTTATGAATTTCTATAGCTTGGTAATAAATATTAATATTTGACTGGACAAGTCCCCTTCTTCTTCAGGTGTGTTTTAGCTAGTTCTTGGGCCTTTGCTCTTCTCTATAAATTTTAGAGACAGCTTGTCAAATTCTTCAAAAACTCCTGTTGAGATTTTAATCAGAATTGCACGGAATCTTTATGTTAGTGACTCTTCCTATTCATGAGCATGTTACGCCTCTTCATTTAAGTATTTTTTTAAAGTATTCAAAGTTTTATAATATTATCCATACAGTTTTGCACACATTGTTAGATTTATTTCTACTTACTCTCACTCTTTCTTGCTAAAATGACATATATATTTTAAGATTATGCTTCCTAAATATGCTTTTTATCTTAAATTCATCCAACTTTCTAAATTCTCTTATTCTAATAATTTGTAGATTCTATAAACACAACTGTATCATCTGTGAATAATGACAGTTTTTGTAAAAATTCCTTTCCTATCCTTGTACCTTACATGATATTGTTTTCTAATATACAATTTACATGATATTGTTTTCTAATATTTTGGTTCTTTCTTTAAATTTTACAAGTTAAAAATTATTATAATTATTTTCTATGGACAATGTTTAAATTTATCTCATGTTTACCAGTTTCTTAGCTCACTATTCCTTCTTGCATCTCAGACCTTCCTTTTGTTATCATTTTCCTTCTCCCCAAAGTGTATCCTTTAGAAGTTCCTTTATTATAAGTCTTTTAAAATTTTTTATTTTTATTTTTGGCTGTGTTGTGTCTTCGTTGCTGTGCGTGGGCTTTCTCTAGTTGAGGCGAGCGGGGGCTACTGTTCGTTGCGGTGCACGGGCTTCTCATTGCGGTGGCTTCTCTTGTTGCGGAGCACGGGCTCTAGGCGCGAGGGCTTCAGCAGTTGCAGCACGTGGGCTCCGTAGTTGTGGCTCGTGGGCTGTAGAGCGCAGGCTCAGTGGTTGCAGTGCACGGGCTTAGCCGCTCAGCAGCGTGTGGGATCTTCCCAGACCAGGGCTCGAACCTGTGTCCCCTGCATTGGCAGGCGGGTTCTTAACCACTGTGCCACCAGGGAAGCCCCCTATTATATGTCTTATTGTAGTAAATATTTTAGTTTTTGTCTGTGTCTTTATCTTTCTTTTGTTCTTGAAAGGAAGACACATTGAAAATAATTTCTCTCTGCATGTTTTTAAGGTCATCTCTTAAGCTGGTGTTGTGCAGTTTCACGTGTTGCCTAAGAATCTATGGATTCATTTCTCTTGTTAGTTGTTGAAAATCAAGAGCCTTTGTCTCTTCAGATAATGACTACTCTCCTTTCTGCTCTTTCCTTCTGGAACCCCGAGTAGTTGTGTGGGATCTTCTCTTTCTTTCATATTGCTTAATGTTTCTTCCATATTTTCTATAGCTCTCTGTCTGTCTGTGCTGCATTCTGGGAAATTTCTTTTGCTCTGTTTTTTTTTTTCCACACTGCACAGCTTGTGGGATCTTAGTTCTCCAATGAGGGATGGAACTCGTGCCCCCTGAACTGAAAGCGTGGAGTCTTAACCACTGGACCACCAGGGAAGTCCCCCTGCTCTGTTTTTCATTTCACTGATGTTCTTAAGCTGTGTCTAATTTGCTCCTTAATCCATCCATTGAGTTTTGTTTTTGTTTTTTTTTAATTTTTTTTTGAGTTTTGGTTTTAACACATATATCTTTTATTTCTAAAATTTCGTTTCTTTAAAAAATCTGTCCATTCTTTTAAAAATATAATCTCTTGTTGCATCCTCATTTTGATGAGTTCACATTTTGCTCAGAAAAATTCATAATTATTTTGTGTTCTTTAACTATTATTTCCAATATCTGACATCCTTGGAGGTTTAAGTCTGCTGTTTGTTGTTTCTGTTGACTGTCATATGGTGGTTTGTTTCCTTATGTCTTTTATTGTGAGCTCAGATCTGATTGACCATACTCTAAGGATACCTGGAAACCTACATTGAGGATATTTTCCACCATAGAAGATATACATTCATCGTGTATGTGTGTGTGTGTGTGTGTGTGTGTGTGTGTGTGTGTGTGTATGTGTGTTGGGGTAGCGGGGAGGAAGGGAGCCCGAGATCACTGGACTTTCTGGTTCAGTTGCTCCATCTTTCAGCTAGCTTAAGGCTTAAACTCCTGCTTGTAGTACTAATAGTGGTGTTTGTCCTCAGGGCAATCCTGTCTTCTTAGTATACTTACTACTCATCTCCACTGACAGTCCAAAACAAAATGAAAATTAATTTTTATGCAGGACCTAGTTGTTTGGAAGCAGGAGGGCCCTTCAGAGTTTCTAGACCACCATACTGCCAGAAGCGGAAGCCTTTTCCTTCATTATTAATCCCACTGCTATCTGACTTTCATTCCTCACCACTCGCTGAAGCTGTTTAGCCAGGCGGCTAAGTGTTACTACATCCAAGAGATCCCTTTCTGTGCTGACAGCATTTGACACCGAGCTTTGTCTAATAATGCTGTCTTTGTTGGTTTCTCTATGATTTTCGTCCTATCACTGTCTCCTTTTATGGCTCTTCTTCCTTTACCTACTCCTGAAATATTGACATTCTCCAAAGTCCTATCCTTGGCCATTTTCTTACTCTTTTTTTGGCAATCTCTATGACTTCAGCTACCACCTATATGTTGATTTCAGAATTCATGTCTGTAGCCCAAACCTCTGTCCTTTGCTTCAGATAAGTATATCCAGCTACACAGCAGACATCTTTTCCTGGAAGTCCTTGAATATTTTTGTCCCCAGATGAACTCCTAATCTCTCTCTCATCTGCAATTCCAAATCTCAGTTGGTAGCACTGCCCTTCCTCCAGTTTTCCGGAGTCCAAAACCCAGAAGTCCTCTTAATCTCTCCCCTCTTCTTTATATCTAGATGGTGACCAAGGTGTGTTATCTGCTTCCTAAAAATTCCCTCCTATTGAGTTTGGGAAAGCAGGCAGACACTCTCATCTTCTGCTGGTGGGCATGTAGATTATTATAACCCTTATCACAGCAATTTGAAGTGTATATGAAAAGTTTTTAGATTCACATATCCTTTCCCGCAACAATTTCTATCTATGAATTTATCCTAAGGGAATAGTTGATATATACAAAGAATGTACAAGAATAATTATACTAGCAAAATTTTATAAATAATCTAGATTTCCGATAATATAAGATTCCTCAACCATATTTTGGTACATTCATAAAATAAAATACTATAGTCATTAAAATTACATTATAGAATATTTTTGACACAGGAAAATGTACTTGATATATGGTTTTGTGAAAAAAGCAAGATTCAAAATATTAGTATACGATATGACACCACCTTCATAAAAAAATATTTGCTTCCTGAAAGGGCATATAATAATAAATTAACGGTAGTTATTTTGGGTAGTGAGAATTATTTGCCATTTTCTTTGTGCTTCTCTGAGTGATTCCCCACTTTCTGATTGAGCATATATTTATTTTGTAATTATAAAAATTATTTTTAAAAGACTCTCCTATTCAACAGTAGGAGAGTACTATTGAGAGTATAACAATAGTCTCCTATTCAAAAATACTCTCCTATTTTTCACTGCTACAGTCTCTCCTTATCTCCCACCTATATCCTCTTCCCTCATCCTTCACCACCTCACTGGGCTTCCTGCCCTCAACTCCAGCCCCTTCAATCTCCTGCCACAGTGGCCAGAGTGTGTCACTCACAATCCAAGCATGACACTCCCACGCTCAAAAGTCTGGACCATTATGACCACATTTCTCAACACAACCTGAAGCCCTTCACGGTCTGCAGGCTTCTCTCTTACCATAGAGCTGGCCTCTCCCTCTGCTCCAGTTCTCAGTTCCTGGTAGGTCCCTGCCCCTGGGCTGCCCTTTCTCACATTCCTCTTCTGCTCGAGTGTCCTTCTTCTGGATCTCTTAGCAGACCTGCCCTTCAAGTCCCGGGAGTGGCTTTCTGGCTGTTATACCAGCACAAGCCTCTGCTGGTGCATGTTCCACACTGGGCAGTCCTACTTTGTTCACTTTTTGCCGAGAGATCCTCAAAGGCATGGCTTGGCCCTTCACTGTAACCACATTGTCCCTGACACATGTAAATACTCAGCAAAGTTTTGTTGGGTGGTACACATAGATAAACTCCCTTGGGCAGAGTCACAATTAGACTTACAGATCTCTCCATTTTGTGAAAGCCGCACAGCCCCACTTGGCCACCTGTCTTCAGGTACAGACACAGGAGACTGTAATAAGCATGCATAAAAACATTCTTGTAGGCAGAGCCCACAGGCAGCCTCAGGGGCTTTGCACTTTCTGATCACTCTGCCTGGAACCCTATTCTTTCAGTTCTTCACATGGCTATTTCTCACTCACCTTTCCAGTCTCAGCTCAATGTCACCTTGAAAGAGAGAGCCCTCTTTCATTACTTCTATTTAAGTAGCTCTCCCTGGTTACTTTCCATTTCCAGTACCCCGTTTATGTCCTTTACACAATTTGGGACAATTTACAAAACTCTTATTTATTTCTTGATTATCATCTATCTCTCCCCATCTCCTACCCTGGTGGAGTAGGAGGGCACCATGAGGGCAGGATCTCATATTACTTTATATATATCATGATAAATTCCATGCCTAAGCAAATGAGTCACACACATACACACACAAAGCTACAAATAATTACAAACACATAATGACAACCACACACTGTCAGTGATCCAGACACCCACAGCCGTACACTCTGACTGCCCGCCCCCCAACCCCCGCCCCAGCTCGCCACTTACCGGAGTCACAAACCTGTTGGCTTCCCAGGCCCACAGAGGTGGGTCCTTATAGCCCTCCTTGATGGAGGTAGGATCCTTGTAGGAGTCACTGTAGGTGCTGATGGGGGTCTTAGTCTTGTGGGAAAAGAGGAACATAGTGGGGTCTAGGGGAGGCCGTGGTGGGCTCTACCTACCAGGGGCTCCTGCAATACATCAGTGACCACCCAACCCCCTTTCCTAGACAGCTAGGCAGGTGCCCCAGCTGCTGCGACCCCCCTCCTGTGGAGGGTCTCTCAGCTTCCCTCCCTCACAGCCTTCTTGCTCCTACCCCACCCTGATTCCCTCTCTAGGATGGGCAATGCCCATTATGATATCACCTGGCTCAGCCCCAGCCCTGGAGAGGTGAAGAGGTCTGATTTCCTCCCTACCCCAGTCTCTTCCTGCCTCAAGCCTCTCAAAACAGCCCAATTTCCAAGAGTTCACAAGGTCCCTGGAGATCTTCTAGGCGAAGCTTCTCACTGTGATGAAGAGAAACAGAGATTCTGAGGGGTCAAGTGAGTCATCCAGAGCCGTTGCAGCTGGTCGGCGGCAGGCCTAGCCTGGGAACCCACAGGTGGAGGTAGGGTGAAAGGCGCATTCAGAGGATTGGTCCTCTGCCCTTCCCGGCCCATCTGCCCCTTGCCCGCACCCCAGGTAGGGAGCTGAGGCTGGCTTGTTTGATGCTTTTAATATCATTATTTGTGTTACACGATACACAACCAAGGATGATGGTCAATACTGCGATGGAAATGTTAAAAAAAATTTTATACACGGCTCATGTCTTCCACACACCTTCCTGGAAATAAATTAGTGAGCACGGAGAAACGGCTGGCTGGCAGCCAGAGCTGAGGGTAGAGGGAGTGTTAAGGCAGTATCTACAAGGGGCAAGGGTGGCAGGGGGCAAACTAAGGCCTCGATTCCTCCCCTCCAACCTCCCCCACAGGGAAGGAGGGAACCATGCACTTTCCCTAGACCCAGAAAGTGCTGGCTGCCAGCTTCGTACTTCTCTCCGCTACACTTGCTACACTGCCTCAGCTAGAAGCCCTTGCCTGCCAGGGAATTAGGTATATCTTGTGGGGAGGGAGCCTTTCCCTTATTCCTCAGGGCCAGAGAGGTTAAGCAGTGGGCCAGAGTCACACAGCATGTCAGCAGCAAAGGCAGCAGTCTAAGTGAGCCTTGGCGGGGGCCCTGCCTGGAAAAGAGGAGGTACCCATGTTCTCGAAGGGTGAGTCAAGGAGGCGGGGGGTGGTGGTGGTAGTAGTAGTAGGAAGCTTGGTTTTGGGGCCCAGATGACAGGGGGTGGGTATGCTGACCGGGGCGGGGGGGGGGCGGGGAGAAACAGGCTCAGGTGGGGGCCAGTACGGGCCGTGTGAGTCCTGCAGGTGTCTTCTCCGTCCTTGCCTCCCTTTGGCATTTTCTCATCATCTAACCGGGGTTCCTGCACTGGAGGAGTTAGGCGTGGGTTGGAGGAGTTGAGGGTGGAGAGCTGCACCTCAGCACTCAGGAGCTGGCAGTCCCTGGGTGTGGTGCAGGGAGAGGTGCTACCCCTCCTAAGCCAGCAGCCTTACTCTCTCTTCTCACTGCCCTTGCCCCCTTCCAACTCCCACCTCCCAGGACTGGCAGCCAGGAACTGGGCTGTGTGTGTGTCCTGTGCATGCTGGCAGCATGTGAGTGGTATATATTAGAGTGGATTGGCCAGCACGTGGGGGAGGTCAGCATGGAGGAGTGGCCCTGGGATACGGGGTTTGTGCGGCATAGACCTGACCAGGCGTGGGCTATCTGTGCTTTTGCTTTCCTTTGCACGGGGCAGATCTATACTGCCCAGGCCCAGGGGAGGGCCTTGGTCACCTTCTCCCTCTTGATTTTCATCCTCAGCTTTTCTAGCCACCACCCCCACCCCTGCCACCACTGAGAAACAGCAGCAGAAGCAGTAGTACATACGTTCTGACTCTCAGACACCCACACAGCTACACACACCATAGATACTCACATACACGTGCACAGACACACACAGACACACACTCACACATTTCCCAAAAGATCCGATTGTACTCAGGCATACACAGGTCCCACAGGAACTTCCCCCTCTCTTTTCCACCATAGGAGGAAGCAATGAATGATGTGCAACTCAGGAAGCCACCAGATGTACTCAAAAGACAACAGAGACCTCCTTATCCACCTCCACAGAAATTCCTATGAAGAAATGCCTTCAGGTTTGGAAGAACCTTAAAAATAATTTCAGATGCCGCTCATTGTACAGTGGAGGGAACTGAAAGCCAGAGAATATAAATGGCTTGTTGGAGGTAACGGGGAGAGTGCCGGAGCCTTCTGACCGCCAGCCCACTGCACTGCTGAGCAGCCTCTCACACCGTTAACAGGCCACACAGTCACTTCCCCACCGCAGACGCCACAGACATCTGGAGACACAGGCCCAATGCAGAGATGCAGACACACGCCCTCACAGCCCCAGGCACACACACGTTCTGCCAAGCTGTCCCTGCCGTACACATGCAGCCACTGTGTTCTCTTAGGCTTGCTTCCTTGAAGATTCTTCCTGGGAAGCAGCCTCTGGGATCTTGGGCTAGAGTGAGACCGGAATGGGGCATTCGAGGCCAGCCTTAACTCCTGCTTCCAGCCCGGGACAGAGACCAATGAATGGAACAGAAGTGTAAGTGTGTGTGTGTGTGTGTGTGTGTGTGTGTGTGTCTGTGTGTGTGTGTGTGTGTGTGTGTCTGTGTGTGTCTGTGTGTGTTGGGTGGGGGGATGAGGCAGGGCACAGAGAGACAGATGCATTAGTTAGGGGCAGGTGAGGGCAGATCATACCACCCTAAACTCTGGCTGTCTGTAACGCCCACCTCACCCTCCACACAATCCAGAGCAAGCAAGGCAAAGAGGAGAAAGAAGGCAGTGATCCCCAAGGGTGGGGGACAATATCCCACTGGGCAGCTTTATCAGGCTTCCCATCTAGAGATGAGGGTAGAAACGCAGATGGTACGTGGGCCAGCAGGGGGGCATGTGGAGGCGGCTCGAAGGAGCTGGGCCCTGCCCCTACTGCCCTGGGCCTTTCTCCTTCCCAGCCCCTTTCCTTGGCTGGTGCTGGGGGATTCATGGCTTCACGTGGGTGGGTCCAAACCCCTGGCTTTGTTACTCATTACTGTTGGCCTCCCTGCAGTCCAGTCACCCCTTTCCTCTACTGGGCTGCAGCTTTGGGGAGGGGGCAGGATGCTGGGCGAAGTCCCCCAAGTAACTGAACAAACCGCCCCCTCCCCTCCTCAGCACTCCCGGGGGTGGAGAGAGACCCGGTTTTGGTTTCTCCGGCTCCATGAACACACAGAGGTACACGTCCTACCATAGGAGGAAGCAATGACTGTTACGAGGTTGGCGGCTGTAGGGTGCGCGGGGGCCGGGGGCAGGTGGATGAGCTGGGGAGGGGTTGGCCCCTGCCTGGTCCAACCTGGTCCCCGGCGGCCCCACCCCGGCCGCAGTGGCCCCGCCAGCTACTGAATGTGGCAGGCGGTGGAGGACGTGGCCTGGCAGCACATGCAGGTGGGGTTCACAGACTTGGGGGGGATGAGGTCCAGGTCCTCATCGTCGGGGATCTCGTCTAACCGGTAGCCGTCCTTCAGCAGCTGGATGTTCAAATCTTGGTTGATCTGCTGTAGGCAAAGGGGAGGGAGGTCAGGCTCGGGACCATCTGGAGGCACCACGCAGGGCCGGGGCCACATGCCCAGGCCATCGGCGCCCAACCTGTTGCATCCTAGGTCTCTCCAAAACCCCAGGCTTTGCACCTCCTCGGCCCCAGCCTCAAGCACGTCCCCCTGGGGCCCCACCCCGCTACACACCGCACCCCATTCTAAGGGCAACTTCCCCCCTTAGGTCCTGCCTCTATTCGGGCCCTGCCCTCATTTCAGGCCCACTCCCGTAAGGTGTCGTCTAGGTAAGGGCCCTGTTCCTGCTCCAACCCGGGTCCAAACCCCGTCCCTAACCCTGGGCCCCCGGCACTAGAGGCGGAGTCCAAGGCCTCACCTTTCTTTCCAGCCAGATCTTATCCCAGGCCCCGCCCCCGCATGGGCTCCGCCTAGCTTTGCCCACTGCTCCCCTCAGGGTGTGATTTGGCGTTGGCCCCACCCCTTCTCTTGGAGGTGGACCTGCTTACGTGTGTTTAGGACAGGAAGGGGTGGGGCCTCACCTCAGCAGAGGAGTAGCCAGAGGAGGAATATCTGGACATGTCAAAGTCATCATCACTGGCCGCAGGGGAAAGAAGACAGAGAGGAAGTGACTCCCAGATATTCAATAGAAAACTCTCTTTACCTTCCCCCACCGCCATCAGTCAATACCTCACCCCTCCCCAACACTTCCAAATAAACAGCACGGTCTCAGTAAAAACGGTGCTTGCTGTGCGAATGCAGTTTCAAGACAGGTTCCCTAGCTCCACCCTTCTAAATTAATTGCCCCCCTTAGCCTCCTAAATCCCCCAGAGCCCTCCCTCCTTTTTTTTCTAGGCTCAAATTACCCTGGTTTGTTGGGTTTTCCCAAAGTCCAGATCTAGCCAGGTATGTTCCCAGCAGTAGGGCGCCTTCCTCAGAGGGGGCAGGGTGCCATGCAAGGCATCAGGGCCCATTTTAGGGGCAGCCATTGGATCAGCTGTCCCAGGACAGCAGCAGATTGCATAGTTGCCTTTTCCTCTCTCTGCTCTCCCCCACCTCCAGGTAAAAAGTTCCATTCCTTGCAGGGGTTCACAATTGGAGAGGTCCGGGCTGAGGAACACCCCAATTCCGACAATATAGCAAGTACGTCCTGTACAGCCCACTTGTGTGTTTGCACAGGCTGCTGTGGCTTGCCCGGCTGCCCCAATGTCTCGGTACACACCTGTCCGTGTCAAGGGCTACCAGTGGCTTCTCGTCTGGGCTCTGGTCAAGCGAGGAGTAGCCTTTATTGGGGACGACCAGCCTGGGTGGAGAATTGTGGGGACTGGATTGGCAACTGAAGCACACAAGCCTGGTGAGGAACTGGGTTAGGACGTGCCGACCACCTCCCTCACCCCTACGCCACCCTCGCCACCTTGGATCCTGGGAAGCCCTCTCCTCTCAGAGAGGAGCTGGGCCTGAGGAGGGAGGGAAGATGGGAGGCTCGGAACCAGCAGAGATAGGTGCTGGCTGGCAGGGCCCTGGTAGGGTGGAGCGGGGTGGGGGTGGGGCCTCTACCTTGTCCGGGCCATGACATTGTTCTTCTTGGGTTGCTGGTTGACGGGGCTCCCCATGCTGCCATTCTTCAGGGAGCCCTTCCGGGCCAGCTCCCGCTGCTTCTCTGCAGGGGAACATGGGAAGGAAGCTGTGTCCTGCCCCCAGGGGCACCCTGCCTTACTGTTCGGGGCAGCCTGGGCTGGGCCTCCATGGTGAAACCCCTTGCTTCTCTAAGAACTGAGGCAGGGATCCAACTCCAGGCCCTGCTGCTCGGGAGAGACAGTACTTGGCTCTGCACAACCTGAGGCAGATAGTGAGGGGGCAACATGAGGAGGCTGACCCCTGTCTTCCAGGAGCTGTACTCCC